TAAACATGTGTTTAGATTTTTGATTATGGGCCCAGTTTTCAAGTTTGTCCAAGTTGGGGTCCAAAATTAAACTTTGTTTGATTTTAACAAAAATTGAATATATGGGGTTCTTTGATATGCTGAATCTAACCATGTATTTTGATTTTGGACATTGGACCATAATAGGTAAATTAAAAAAATTCAAGTTCTTAGACCACATTCTTTCTGTGTCAGAAACCTATGCTGTGTCAAATATTTAATAACAATCCAAATTCAGAGCTGTATCAAGCTTGAATGTTGTGTCCATACTTGCCCCAACTGTTCAGGGTTCGACCTCTGCGGTCGTATCAAGCTGCGCCCCAGCGAAGCATTTTATTTTTACAAACTACATTGTAAATTTGGATGAATTCTACTATGAGGGTCTGGATGGGGTCCCTCATTTATTTATTCTTTAGTTTTTTAGATCATTTACTCTATTCTTTATTTATTTTGCCCATTATTCTCTATTTTAGTACACTATGCGCTATACTTTATTTATTTTGCCCATTATTCTCTATTTTAGTACACTATGCTCTATACTTTATTTATTTTGCCCATTATTCTCTATTTTAGTACACTATGCTCTATTCTTTATTTATTTTGCCCATTATTCTCTATTTTAGTACACTATGCTCTATACTTTATTTATTTTGCCCATTATTCTCTATTTTAGTACACTATGCTCTATACTTTATTTATTTTGCCCATTATTCTCTATTTTAGTACACTATGCTCTATTCTTATTTTTTTGTCTATTTTTGTCTATTCTTTATTTTTCAGTCCTTTATTTTCCACTGTTTGCCCATTATTTTCTATTAACCCCATCTAGACTCTTTACTATTAAACATTTGCTCTGCTTATCCATTTTTTTGCAACAAATAAAAAAACACTTAGCCTTCATATATTGAATCTGATTTTACTGCACTTTGAAGAGAAATAAAGTGTTGTACATTAGAAACATCTGAAGGGGCTTAAAAGGTCAATCAGACACCTCAAATTGATTCCTTCAAATCTTGTGTATTATCTGAGCGTAATTACATGTTTCGTAGTCAGTCATTATCCTTTTCAGCCCTTTTATTAACGATGGCCATTATGTTTTTGGGGTCTCCCTTTCCAAGATCAACATGCGGAATCTGTATCACAGCCGCCTCCAAAATTGTGTTCAATCTGTCAAGCATGTGTTCTGTTTCTGGACGTTTAGCTTGAATTCCTTGATCGTTAACTTTTATCCCCTTAGTTGTACGACAAATTACATGATCTGTGCATTTATGATGGTATTATTAATTTCAATTTAAAATACTTATTTGATTATGAAACAATGTGGTTTAACACAGTTACATAGAATATCACCAGAAAAAAACTGTTCACTTTGATAAATGGACAGGAATAAAAACTAACTGTCCACTTAAAACATAAAGAGGTTATATTATATTATATGATTTATTTGTCTGTATATGAAATATTTTTACCAAACAGAGAATCTTTGTATTATTGATAATCCCTGAAACCATTTCAGGGAATTTGTAAAATAATTATTAAAACTTTCAGTGATTATGTAAAATCACTGGTCATTTTCAGGGATTATATATAATCACTATTGATTTTAGTGATTATGCAAAATCCCTGAAAAACCAGGGATTCCACATAATCCCTGATTATACAAATCCACTGTAACATATACATATTGGATTTTCTGCATATTGAAAAACTGATTATTTTTTCCCCAATTTTCTGTAAAATAATTAAAAATACAACTCTTGCATTTGTTTTTTGTTGTTGTAATTTTGACTTATTTGAACACTAGTACTTGTGTAATGTTTTAAAATAACTAATTACCGGTAATACAAAATGTATACCACATGAAACTGATAAGTATAGATTATAGGGTTTCTACACATTGATATCGTAAAATACCAGCTGCGAGCCACAATGTGAACCTTTTTGGCGAGTGAGCGGCTGATATTTTACGATATCTATATGAAGAAAACCCAATTATCTGTTTATCCTTCTATTTCTGGTCTTTTCCCCCTCCCTAAGACAGTTTTACGCTTGACGAAAGCAAGCTTGATAACGTCTCCTCACACATTGTGACGTCGCTGATAACTTCTCCTCAGACATTTTGACGTCGCTGATAATGCCTGCTCTCATCTCGAAGCAGTGATACGAGAATTACAGAGCGACTGAGCAGGGTGATATAGGCGTAGGGAAGGACGATAAATAGTTTCACCAAAATGTCAAAAAATTTGTCCACTGAATTCTTATGACAGAAAAAGGGTGTGCAGTTTATACATGTATAAATAAGGATTATACACAACTATTTATATCCCGCAAAGGTAGTAAGTCGTGCACTTAAGGACATTTTTTATTTTATTTTTCTGTAGACTTAGCTTTCTTTTTTTATTACTGTGTATTGTCAAGCTTGGTTAATCATAATTGTTTCTCAGTCACTGAATGTACGATGTTGTTCATTACTGGAGCAGCTGACCGGTTTGTTTACATTCAAATTCTAATGGCTTCAAAACCACGTGACACATTGAATCGTTATATCCAATCAAATTGCTCTACTGTCAATTAGGTGATTTTTTAGTACAAGGTAATTATATTATTTGTTTGTATGATATTGTTTTGAAATAGTTTGCAATAAATTGGGGGTTTATTCAATAGGAATCCTCATTACATGTATTAGCCATGAAATTTGACATCAATGGAATTTTATATGAATATTTACTTATGGTCAGAATATCGATCTCTTTATATTGAACCAATAACAATTTTTTTTTTATGAAAAATATATGTATATTGTTTTTTATTAACCTACTCTATATTCCTGAACAAAAATATGGCATGATTATCGTTTGTTTCCCAAAGTTTTTCTATCAATTTGGATGTTTTTTTTTTTTGCTGGAAAATCGTGTAAGACGTAAGGTGCTTGCCATTTTGAAATTCTTAAAAATACGATTTGCTTGGCCTGCTTGGTCTGCCATTGAGATTGATGATGCTCAGTGGAATGTAAACAAAGCAATGGAGGCGGGAAGAGGGGTTTTCTTAAGTTCTGAAATGTTTTTAGGCAATCGGAAGTCAGGTTTGAAATGGCCATTAGAAAATCTGCATTTTAGTACAATACTTAAGAATAATAATGAAAACATATCTTTAGAAATATCATTTTATTTAGAAGTGTAGAAAAAATGTATTCTGCACTAATTTTATACGCTGGTATTAGTGTAGTGATGTCAATGCGGAGTTTTCCCGTATGTTAAGTACAATAACAAAATCCGAACGAACCAACGTTATGACCGATTATAGACTACAGTAGGATATTTATATTAAAAAGGCATGCATACTTTGAGACATTATAAAATTTGAACAATAGGAATATTTTTTAAATTTTATAGTGGGTTCGCTTCATCAGTTGCTCAATCATCAGTGTGTTGTGGATTTCACTTTCAGTTTATTTTTTGTACTTTTACTTATCATATGTCATGATCATAAACATTTTGACATGTTGCGCATGTTGTTGTTTTGATTGCTTCTTGTTTTTATCTTAACTACTCAGCTTCATAATCCATATGCAACTATACCAGTCATAATTACGTTCGATAACTCTGCATGTTACTGGTTCAATTAGGATTATGAAAAATTTACTGGTAACCCGTGTGATGAATGATTTAGAAAATTGAAAAATATAGATATTTCACCTCGGGGTTTCGAGGTTTTTTTTATTAATATAAAATAATACCATAAAATAATTTCTATAAGAATCGGACCATACTAATCTACATAAGTCTTGTCAAAACTTACATGATCTTACATCGTGATTAGGTGCCGTGTTTGTTTTCTTTGATCACGTTGATGACTTAATATCTCCTTAATCAGGCTATGTCCTTGGGTATTATTAGAGTGACAATAACGTGTCATATTTAATTGCAATATAAACAGTGAAATTAAATTGTGTTATTTGCATGGGCAAAATTAGTGTCGAACATCGTCTACGTTTGAAAATTGTTTGGTCGCCATTTTTTTACGTAACTTCGAAATTTTATCAAAACAAAAAGCATGTATCCACTTTATCAAAAAGACAAAATATTTGATTCTATGCTGCTTTAAGGTAAGACAAAAACTGAAAACGCATGCATCCAACAGTTTTTTTTATTTTCATCGTAAAATATTACAATATATATTTTCACAAGTCGACCTACGCTGTCAACATGGTCAATGTAAACAATGCATGGTTGATGCATATAAATCTTTGTTTTGAGTGCGAGAGACAGTTTCTAATAAATATGTTAAATTAAAGGTGAAATAAGAAATTTCTAAAAACAATAAGACACACTTTAATAAATATTTCACAAATTACGTTTTAATTAATTGCTAAATGAATACATGTCGTGTCTTTGTTTACTACCGACATCGGCCGCCATTTTCAAAATATTGTTAACGAATGCCAAAATGTAAACTTTTTAATCAAATTTTGAAGCAAAAAGTTTGTTACCTGAACTGATTTGGGTTTCGATTTCATTTAAATGAATGTGTTGTCGATCTTTTTAGAGGTTGGAAGGATATTATTAACAAATAATAAGTTGAGAAAACTGATCATATAAGAAGGTCCCATTGCAATTTTATTGAGTTTTAACGAAGAAGTCAACGGAGGCTGTGTGGTTATGTCACCTCCATTTTCAAACTTAATTTGAAGCAAGAAATCATATTTCTGAACTGAAACTTAAAACATTTTTAACTGTAAAAATGAAAATACTATAAAACGCGGGGTTGGAAGGTAAAATACACAATGTAACAAAAAAGTTATGATCGTTTAATCTATGTAGCCCGTTCATTTTCATTGATAATCAATCGGCCATTAATGATATACAACTGAATTGTAAAAGTCACGTGATGACCGCGATAGTTGGATATGCTGTTTCATTTAGGGCAGTAACCAGTTCGAAACCCTTTTAAAATTGTTCCGTCAGCTACACTCTGTTAATTACCTACTCTCTCTTTTCCGGTAAAAAGTCTTTAGACATAATAAATCTTTCCCTATTGTAGACTGGTTCTCTCTATGGTAACATACGGATAGCAGAGCCCAACAGGTAAAGGACAAGGAAAGTCTACCCTATTCCTCTTGCGGCAGTGCCTAGACCTGTCTCGAGCCCGATGAGCCTGTTCGATAATTGGATAAGGTAAGAGTGGACCGAAATATCCAAATAGTATTCGATAGGCTTAGGTGGTTTCGTACCAGATTGATCGTACCTCGGCTGCATCGAATGTTTATATCGGCTTAACAAATTAAATTTGTTAGTACATACAATGTGAATTAAGGAACGATTGTAATAATTTTTTTCTGTCTATGAAGAGATAACATCAAATATGTGGTGCACACTAAATAATCAGCGTAGCGTGTTATTTGAAAGTGTGCACCACAGTTTTGAGGTCATTTCGAATAGACAGAAAAAATATTACAGTCTTTCCTAATATTTTAATTCTAAATTCCATTTTTAAGGAGTAAATCATGAAAAAATTGTTGACCACATCAAGGTCACATGAAATTATGTCTATGAGCTGATAGACAAAAAAAAAACTTTCAGCCAATAAGAAGACGTGTTAACGTTTCGCACGATGTCCCTACAACACGACGTTGCACCAAAAATGCGACGTCAAAGAATGTTTTCTGAAATTTTGACGTCGATTAATTAACATTCGGTTTTTTATGTTGTTGGTTGATTCTGTGTCTGTTATTTTTGGGATGTCTTTTTACCATGAATTACCTCAAGTTGTGGAGATGTACATTTTTAAATTTAGTATTTTTCTCCTGGATCGTCCGTAAAAACGGCTAATATAATCCCGGGTTGTATTATTTAAATGAAATAGTTTTCGTCGCTGTTTGCGATTAGTCTTTCAGTTACCTCCGTTTCATGTACAAGTTTATATTGACGAAAAGGTCCAGCTTCGATAGTACGACAATTATAACATGGGTAGCAGGACAAGTCGCAAACTAAAACATTTCGAGGACTTTTACTTTTAATTTGGTGAATGCACCTTAAAGAAGGGACGACTTTAAATGATCTATATCTACTTCGTGGCATTTCAACAACATAACGAAAAATTCGCCTTTTCCATATAGACGACTGTCTTGGTGTCTCTAAATTTTCTTTGCAAAAGTTGTACATATCATTGACATTCTGAATCAAACATTTGCCTCTTTCAAGAATAAATCGCTAAAAGTAAAAAAACGATTTATAAAAATAGCAAAATTTATTCTGTGTCGAATCTATGTTCCGAGTCTGTCAACATGCACCATTATTTTTTTCGACAGCCTTCAATATCTTTTTCCAAATTTCACCACACGATTTGTTTTAATTATCAGGAACATTGAATTGAAACAAATTTAGCACGTGTACTACAACGTCAGAAATAAGCGTTTTTAGGATTTTTCGACGTTTTCAGTCGTTGGACAAAATGACTACCGTTTTGTAAAGTTTCGTAGCATTTTATTCCTTTGAGACCCAAACATGTAGTTAATAAAAAAAGAATCTAGACATTTTTTACTTTTCGTGTATCTAATTTTGTTTTGATAAATTATAAATTACTTATTGAAATATCAGGTAAAAAAACCGCATTTATTGCTTTGACAAATGAAATATTAACTTGGACAAAATGACTACCGCTTGAAAGACGTCTGTAAAGAGAAGATTTTATAAAATCTACTTTTTTTGAACTCACGAACAATGAGGCAAATATTTGTACTTTCGGTAGATGTTAATATTATCTTACTTTTTTAAGACACTTTCTGCTATATCTACTTATAAAAATCACTTTCAGACGTTGAGTCAAAGAAAAACGTCGTTGAACATTTTTCTTTTTCCAGCTTAATATGCAGCCGCCGAGTCAAATGAAATTTGAGAAAATAACAGCTTCAATGTCACAAAAAAACCGACACATGTCGTTGTTCCCGCCAAGTTTGAGGAAGATCAGAGAATAAGAAATAGGGACACTTTACATAAGAGTTAAAACAGTTGTTCAAAAATGTAACGTTGGACATCCGTTTATTTCACGTCATGAGCTTTGTTGTTAGAATCCTCAAATATACTTGATATTACTAAGCATATGACCAAGAGCTATAAGAACATAATTAAAAACATATACTGAATTTGTTTTTCTAGTGGTAAGTGTTTGCTAACATTTTTCTTTTTTTTTGCAGAGGAAATTTCGAAGATTCTCTTTTAAATCCTAGGGGTTGTAGGAACAGCGTGCGCAACGTTGTTACATCCAAAATTGAATGATTAGATAATAACGCACGATAACCAAGGATGTCAATAGTAAGACTATACACATCCTTGGGGTAATATATATATCCAAGTTCAAGTCATGATTTTAAAAGTGTCCAATAGTTTAAAAATAATTAAAAAAGTGATAAGGATAATTTATGTCAATAATAATAAAAAGTTCAACAATCACGTGGGGTTCCATACAATAAATATAGTGTTAAAATTTAAAATCTTGTCAAGGACCTAAGTTATTGTTTTCTATTAGTAAATGTTGTTATTTATGTGTAAAATAGAATGAAGGGGTCATATAGTTTATATATCTACTAACCAACAATAGGTTTAAGTCTCATAGAGTATTCAGATGTTGTCCTTAATTATATCTCTCTAAATTATTTCCATTCTCATGACCGATAGTAGCCAGCTTTGTATAGGATCTTATAAGGTTCCAAGAGTCAAAAATGAATGTTCATTATATTTTACTACAATAATTCCGCTCTCTTGGTATGCAATGCATATACCCAGTCTTTGCATATCTCCTTTCTATAGCAACTAGGTGAGTTACAGGTATGCGACGTTTGCTGGAATACTCGACTAGTAATTGAAGCAGATCGTCTTCAGATTCAACGATGTAGTTGTAGTTGATCTGATGTTCAGCCATCAAATAAGTCTGATGTAGTGGATTTTTCTCACTGATTTAAGGCTTATGCAGTTAACAAGAAAGTGCTTGTAATCTTCTGTTCCTTCCATACACAAATTGCACTCTGCAGATTTTGTTGAATCAAAGCGGTTGCTAATACTTTAATTAGTTTTATATGTCCCAGTCAATATTCTGGACTTTATTATTCCTTTAGCAACATCTCTCTTGTTTTCTCTGACACTGCTCCAATATGTATTAGGTTTTCGGAAGTTCCAATTGCTTACTTCTATATGATATCTTCCTTCTTTCGGGAAAACCTCCTATTGAATACTTTTTAGTTTTAAGGGTAATTCGAGGGCTTGTCGAACATCAAACCATCACATCAGCATAAAACACAAACAATGAAATATTATGATTAATCATATACAAATGATGTATGATATGGTGTATTAGGCATAATTAGAACTATATATTTCATGGTATTTGGCAGGTACTCTACAAATAATATAGATATATGGCTGAACAATCCCAAATTCCAAGTGGTTGCAAATCTGGGACTTAAGTATAACAGCCCAAATTCAGATTTGGAACGCTGATATACTTGTACGACACACAGATGGAGACAGAAGTTGTTTCAAAATTAAATAGAACACAAGTAGCAGTGGTCCAAGACGAAACATGCAGAATCTGGTGTGCAAGGGTCAGTTTTAGGACAAAGTTTCTTTCGTTCTCTTTTTTTTACATTACTCTAGAGGCCTTGTGAGGCTGTTTGTGGACGATACTTTTGTCTTTTTGACAATTTCCCCCAAACAACAACTGCTTCTATACCAAAACACTTATTAAACGGTTTTATATTAACGTCTCCATGTATATAATGGTCCAGTCCAGTGGACTGGAATATGCCGTTAACATGATTAAAATATTCCCTTTTTTTATAGTTGAAGTTCATTAAAAATCATTTTGCAATAGTTGTACCAGGTATAAAGATAAGATTCCTTACAGACACAGATACTTATTCGAGCTCCAGTATTTCTATATAAAGTGATATAAATGCTCAGTTAATTTGAGCCCTGGCATCCAAAGTGGAGATTCAATTCTGCTTTTGGGGTGGGGTTGTCAAAATACTATATCACAAAGAGTGTTATGATATTTTTCAACATATTTTACACAATCGTGATGCTTATTAAACTATTATAACTTGATGACGTAGTTTTAATTTTGATGAGGCTAATGGAGATCGTGGAAGTACTATATTGACAGTACTTCAATGTGTAGAAGAAAAGCGTGTCTGGCGTAACAAATTATAATCCTGGTATCTTTCATGAATTTTAAAAAATCGCTGGGTAGATTCCACTGCTGGCTGATGCTTTGTCCCCGACGCTATCACTCGCCCAGTGGTCAGCACTTTGTGTTGACATGAAATATCAAATAAGTTCATCATTTTAAATTTTCTGCTTAATTTTGTTTTTCAAATACTCCAAACACTAACGTTTTTCTTTCCCAAGGCATTCACAGCCTTAGTCGTTTATAATACAAGTTTTCGGACTTTTAGGATTTTAATGTCGATTTGGCCTTTCAGCCGTTTCTATTATAGCACCACTGATGATTCTTGAATAAACAAACAACGAGTCTGGCGTAAAAAAATATAAGCCTGGTATCTGATGAGTTTTAACAATCTTATCATAGATTGGGGTGAATTCAGAAGGGGGTTGTTAAAAAACACGACTAAGAAATATTTTTATGCTATTTTTTTCTTACAACAATTCACCAGGATTTTGTAAATAAACAATGTTATGCATTTAATCCCCAGGTATAATCGCTCCAAAGTCCAAGTAGTTGTAAAGACTTAATGGTATATCATGCTTCATGGAGCCTCTAGTTTACAATGTCACACTTTTAAATTGAACTTGTCGAAATCGGTCAGGGTCACATATTCGGAAAACCCAATATGAATGGCATAATTTTAATAACGGTCGCATTTTTAACATTTTCATTCATTCAGCCCTTTAAAGGCATTGTTTAATATGCACAATCCATTAATTTTGGCATGTCATTCGGAATAAGTTATCATTCCAATTCAGTCCGAACAAGTTGAAGCCGTTTGATGCATTCGTGTTTAAAAGATCTTAAAAAGACAAAATTGATAACTGGTTAAAATTAAGGTGAAAAAATAGAGATTTTAAATAATTTGGCTGATAGGTTGATTTTGAGGTGAAACTGACATAATTATCTATTATCAATATTAACATGTCACCTTTTTTATACTAAAAATTGGATTACTTTTATTTTGTATGAATTCAAAATATGTTTATTAATAAAATTGAGAATGGAAACGGGGAATGTGCCAAGAGACAACAACCCGACCAAAGAGCAGAAAACAGGCCAAGGCCACCAATGGGTCTTAGACTAGTTTTCTTAAGTCAAATTTATTTTATTTTATTCCACTGTTTTCTTTTACTTTATACCCGCGACGTAAATTCAAGTGGAATTTAAAGATAATCCATGTCGATTTTTCTGTCCGATCGTCCACGCATAGTCTGAATGAAAGTTCTCATACAGTGTAAAAACTAGCCATTTCTTATTACAACAGTAACAGTTTTACATATTCTGAAGATATGAATTTGGACAGTAATATAATTTTCTTACGTTTTTAATCCAGTTTTACCAGTTGTTAAGCTGTTTGAATAATATAATGGAAAAATGCATAATTCATAAAAACGAGTTCCTTATGTAAGGAGTTACAAAATAAATAGATGTGGTAAGATTGCTAATGAGATAGTTATCAACCAAAGACCTAAGAATAAGGATGTTATAGCCCTCAAAAATGAGAAGAACTCATATCCTAAATAGCGACGTAAGATATCGGGATGACAAAATGTATAACAATTCAAAAGGGAAAACCAAAGGCCTCATTTACGGAAACACAATATACTAAAAACATCAAGCAACGAAAATCATTGTATTACTGACCATTGACTACATGTATGTACATGTACACAGTTAACAATCTGGCTAGGTTAAAAATATTTATCAGCTCTGAAACACCCTTACTTTGGACTGTGAAACAATAAAACACACTGTAAAAGAAAAATCAAAATGGGGCTATACTCATTAGATCGGTACTGAACACAGAAACAAGTAACAAAGTCGGAATTATATGATTTATGGTCTTTCTAGCTTATCATTGAAGCTGTGTACTGCACTGACTATATTATATACATAAACATAAGTAAGTAAGTAAGTATTTATTATAGTGCATGATCATTTCAAAATAGAAAAATATAGAATTAGACTCAAAGTTGTTCCTTCTGTGAATGAATGCTGAATTTACAAATTTTGCTTTACAATTCATAACCTTTGCCTAGTATACATAGAATTCTTTTCAAAAAAGGGATATCAAATCCTAAATTTTACGGTAACGTTGTTCATAAAGCCCATCAATTTAAATACGATCCATTGATCTTTTGGATAAAAGTATTCTTAAAAGATATCAACACCGCAGTAAAATCTGTAAATATAGTTTTTAACGGTATTAATATTGATTTTTTTTTGGATAAATTTAAACATAACTTAATATGTATGGCTATACATTTACCAATTCGTATGGTCCTACATCCTGTCGATATAATTTACTTATACTTTGGCATTGCAGAAGGTCATGCTTTTCACAGGCTGTTTATGACGTCTTTACACCAAACCCGTTTGATGTATAAAGGGAAGTAAGAGCCGCCGGAAAGGGGAGGTTAGGGGACAACTTTTTGTTAAAAACATATTGAAAATAGTGAGAGAAAAAATAAAGATAAGCGAGGACACGGACTAAATTCTAGACTTTTGGACTAAAGAAAAGGTTTTTATTTTCTTTGCTTGTCACTTTCAGAAGTATGCCTCCAACTTTTCAATGTACCCCACGCCACTGGTGGGACTGATTGATACTCTAAGTGTGCATGTTGTTAAATACTTATTTTTTTCTCCCAATTCATTTGTTTTGAAAATCAGCTATTTTGAAAAAAATGAAAAATCCATTGGGGCTTCCTCTCTTTAGACTAAAAAAAATATATGCATGTTCCATTCGATTGAAATTAACTGCGAGAAAGGACACCTCGCAATGTCAAAACAATGTTAATTGTTGAGGTAAATGGCCTTAAATCCTTCAAAACATAAACAAACATTAGGTCTGTTATCTTCAATTGTCGTCCAATCGTAAATCAAGATGTCATTTTTGTCCCCTTAGATACAACCTACAGGATTTAAGGATCTGTATAAACTTGACAGGAAATGTGCCCAATAATAAGATTGCAGCATGTAGTTAAATGAAACAAAAATTAACTCTTTATGATTTAGTGATATCTATATAAAATGATTTTCTTATTTCTAACTCAACAGTCAAGCAGAAATAATGTATATCACAAGCAGCGTATTGAAGCACCGAATAACAAGAAAAAAATCGTCAAATATCTGAATCCTTTTGGTTTTTTTTCAACAATTTTACATACATACATCCATGAAATGATATTATGAAACGTTCTATATGTTGTTGAAAAAATGATTTATATAACATTGTAAATTTCACATATTTTTGCGAAATTTTGTGAAAAAAAACATTTATTAAGCTTTACTGTACCTGTCCTCAAATATTATTTCGGTTTGATTTATTTCGATGCATTTAAATGTCTAGTGTTCAAATTCAAGGAGTTTCAACAACTTTCTGATTTTGATCCCTGAAGTGAAACTAATACAAGTAAAATTAACCATACTACTCTGTCAAATTCTATCAAAATTGCATTTAAGAGCATTTTTTACAATTTATACTACCAAATAGTTATATTTGCATAAACACACCAAAATGATTTTGATAAATATTGGAAGACATTTTGAAAAAAGAGGCAGAAGATACCAATGGGACATTCAAAACTCGTACATTTTAAATTCGAGATAAAATGACAATGCCATGGCAAAACACGAAAGACAAACACAAACAAAATAACAAAAAACTACATAGAAAACAGAAGACTGACCAACACGAAACAAAAAAACGAACTTGGATGATCCCAGGTGTTCCGGAAGGGTCAGCAGATCCTGCTCTAATAGTGACATCCGTGAAAATGTGTGAAATAAATAAAGGGTAAATTGGCCACACCTCTCTGCTTGTATACTTTTTAAACTGCTTTTCTCTATTAGTTATTTCTCGGTCGGTCAATTTTAAAGCAGGAAAACCCAAATGTCTAGGTTTAAATCGTTTAGTAATTGATTGTTTCAGATTTTGCATTGTTTGCAAATCAATGTTTATGTTTTTGGAGTCATCTTTTTAAATAACTAGCTAGTAGAAATACACTGTTCTGCCCTTTAAGTATCAATAAAATACCTCGTAATCATTATACATAGTTAACGGTCATATATATATACTAGTAGTGCATATCAGTGTGGATAGTTGACGACGATTTATTATTTAATTCACAACGGGTTTCTATATCGTAAGGTATCAAAATGACTTCAGTTGGGTATGTACTTTGATAAATTTATATTGACGTTTTTAAATAACTTTTTTTTAAGTTTTCCTTTTGACCCATGAGAAAACATGCCTTTATTCGCGGTTAATTTAAAGGAAATTGAATTAAAATTTGTTTTCTTATGTAAGAAATGTTCTGAAATACAGATGATATGGTAATTTATTCTATGAATCTCGTTTTATAAAAGTAGAAATATGCGTTCTCAATTATTTTGCAGCCCTTCTCCTGAGGAAAAGGCTGCCGGTAGTAAGTATTTGTAAAACCTTGAAAACAGCTATATACATAGACAACATTTTTATAAATATTTTTGATATACATACATGTATATCGACCATTTGTTTATCTACACAAGAAAAAAAGATGACAAAATGTAAAAAAATATAAAAAAAGATAGAAAATAAATATTCTTTTACTTTGAACTGTTACTCTGAAACTTACTATTTTATATAAAATAATCAAAACTAGATAAAACCCTATTTCAATACAAAAATGGTAAATTCTACGCAATAGGTTTTACAGTTATATCGACGATTTATTCCCCAATTAAATAATCAAGTTCTCTTTTAGCGGTTGTACCCCCTCCTTCCACAGAACAGAATGGACTAGCAAAGGATCAAAAACAGGCCGAATTCGTAAGGTAAGAAAGATTAATTGTCTTGTTGAAAAATGTTTGAGATATAAGAAGACAAATATTGATACAGTTTACATATGTGCATTACTATTTGTACACTTTATAAGATAAAAATGTATTTGTTGAAAATATAACAGGAAAAATGTTGGGGAAACACTATGCTACTAGTTGTGTAAACTTACTTTACAATTTTTAGATTACTGTCTTAAGTTTTAAGTTCAGATTCGGATAGTTCTAAAATAAGGAATATTTTCCTGTTAAAATGTTTAGCGGAGGAGCAAAACGGAGTTGCTTCTTTTGTGTTATGACATTGTTTTCCCCCTTATCACTGAAGGCTTCTCTTACGTAATATGTCTTAATTTTCTTTTCGATTATTCGAATATGTTCCATTTAAATGATGACCTCAATAAGCTTTAGAACATTAGAACGTACTCACCCCTTCTCGTCCAATGAAAAGTCAGTTTTTTGCCTTCTAATTTTCATAGTACATGGCTTTCCATGCACTATGTCTAGGTTAGTCTATGGAAAGGTATATACTATGAAATTTAGAGCGAGGGGCTTGCCCCGAGCTCTTAATTTCATAGTATATACCTTTCCATAGACTATCCAATTTAGCACATATTTACAACTCGAGTAATCTTTTAATTGGTCTATTGATAGTTTATTTTGGCTGACTACTTGTATCACAGGTGTTTGTAAAACGGAGCTCATTAACGAATTTTGTAAATCTACTCACTAGTATCATTGTAAAATATGTGATTTCAAAAAGCCCTTCACTCCAGAATGAATGGATGGTAGCTGCTGGTGTAAGTATGTATACTGATATAAAGCGGTGTTTTACTATACATGTTCTTCTTACAAGGTAAGATGACAAAATAAATTGACCAAAAGCAGGCAATAATTAAATTGCAGTGGAAGCTTTACATGTTTTGAAATTTTATTTTTAATTTAACAGTAAAACTAAAGCTATAATAAATTTGAAACATATAGATAGTTTGTCCCCAAAGATATAGTCTAGCAGATAGGCATTAAAAAGCAACTACAAATAGATCAGAGATAATAGGTTTTGTGTTGTTTTTTTTTTTTATTAGTTCAAAGTAAAAACTAAAAGATTTATCAGAATATGTTTATATATATATATATATAGGTGGCACATTATCTTCAGACATAATCACAGTTTTTCAATTCATGACATCGTCCTGAACATGCATGAAATATTTGCCACTGGACATTAAGCAACCAATAATCAATAAATTAATCAATTCATGACGAAATAGATCACTTTCCTTAAGAAAGTTTAAAAAATTATCACCAAGTTGCTTTAATTTTCCTTCACAAGGTTTCATAGTACACACTTTTCTGTGTACAAAGTAATTGCATGGATGATACATTATCATAGTTTTAAGATATCGTTGTACTCTAACCAAGGTATAAAGAACCATATGTATTACCCTTTATTCAAATGATAAAATTTGCAATTGTCAAAAACATTTTTTAGATCCAAAGATTTTAATAGCAGGATATTTAAAAATCAATGTGAAAACTAATTACAAACTATTTAATTTAATTTGGAACACAGCATTTTATTTCAAAATAGCCAGTGGCAATTTTTGTTTTAAATATCTTGATTACGATACAATGAAATCTTACCCTTGTTGTCATTCATGCGTAGTTACTTAGTACACAGGAAAAGTATGTACTATGAAAATTAGAAGGCAAATATAAGCAATTTGATTGGACGAGAAGTTGTAAGTATGTGCTAAAAAATGCTATACATGAATGACTTTTACAATGAAAAGTCATTCATGTATAGCATGTATTAAGTGAACTCTTAATAACTTTACTAACGAAGTGTACAATACCCTGAGGCATTTTCCTTGGGAAAATAGCCTACTGATTAAAGATGAAAGAGAAAAGAATTATAAAAAACATTTTGAACATTGCAAATCTTTATATTAATGGTTATATATATAACAAACAAAAAATAAAATAAAATGGGGGCAAAGATGTAGGTAAAATTATTTTGTATACCATCTTTATACCAGACATTCGAGTCGATTATTTTTTTTCTCAAGAAAACAATGTCAGACTGCTGATATATAAAGCAAAGAATTTTTTTGAGAAAAAAAACCAACAATACATGTACTTCATCAATAAAAAGTAAGCATCTGATGTTGAATGGTCGTAATTCAAATATTTATAGACTAAGTTTTATAATTATCAAAAAATATTCAAATTTCAGAAAGCGGATTGATATCACTTTGTGTGCTAATTACAATCAAGAAATTTAAGGTATATAAGTATAAATTTTTTACCTGATGCAGAAGAAAAACTCAAATGTTTGAACAATTCATCCTTTTTGTCCTCACAAACTATGTCAGTGCTATTTCATTCCATCCATTGTAATGGTCATTACCTATGTTATATACTCACTTCATTATAAAAAGTGAATTCTTTTTTAGTTTTGAATATTACAATGGGAGAGGATAATTTTGTAAGGTCACTCGAAAGTGTGAATATGTTCTAAATTGGTCAGACAATGCTTGGTCATGTTTTATGAAGATTTAAAGCCCTCGGCCACGCCTTGGGCTTTAAATCTTCATAAAACATGACCAAGTATTGTCTAACCTATAATACTCATCCCCTCTCGCCCAATTGAAAATCATTTATTTCCCTTCTAATTTTCATAGTACATGGCCTTCCATGCACTATAAAATGCTATACATGAATGACTTTCCATTGTAGATTAATCATGAAAGTGAACTCTTAATGACTACAATAATGAAGTGTAAGATCCCCAAAGGCAATTTCCAAAGGAAGAGAGCAAAAGAAAACAATCATGAGTACTGTTGTTTGTCTAAATATTAAAAATTAAAACAGGAGAATAGACACATTTTATACGTTATATAATGATACATATATTGAACCCTCCCCCCAAAAAAAAACTGACAAAAAGAATTGAAAAGGGGACAAATGTGCAGTTAAAACGATATTCAATATGATTCTTATGCGAAAAATTAAAATCAATGGATTTTTAAGAAATAATGACTGTTGATCTGTTGATAAAACACGAATAAATTTATCAATAAAAAAAGAAATAAGCATCTGATGTTGAAACGATTGTAATTTTGAAAATCATTGATGAAGTTTTGTCATTATTAAAAAATTATACAATTTTAGAAAAGCTGATTTATATAACATTATGTCCTTTCAAAATGAAGGAATTTTAGATATATAAGTATTAAACTATACCTGAAGCAGAAGAAATCTTCATTTTTGAATCACAAAACTATCGCATTGCTATTTCATTCCATCTGTTGGAATGACCATTTAAGTAGGCTGGGGGGGTTTTAATTAAAATCCATTGAATTTTTTAATAATTTGTCAAAATGAAGTTTTTATCATGCTTTTTTAAAAAATATAATAAAAAGTATGGGTCACCGGACTTTTTTTCACGCTACAGGTTGTGCAAAATTGTCAGATTTTGTATAGATTATGCATGGAAAATCCCATTTTGTGTGATAAAAAGAAAACTACACCATAGAATTTTAGGATAAAATATGAGAAAATAGCTCTTATAACATGCTTTCAGATAAGAAAAAGAAAAAATGAGTCACCGAACTTGTTTTCTTGCTACATATTAAAAAAGGTAAATTCACAACACTTTCTATTATAAAAAAAACTTTATCTGAGTTATCTCCCCTTCTATCTGACTGAGTTATCTCCCCTTATTTGGCAAAGTTAAAAAAAAATGAATCAAACAAAAATATTGTGTTTTTTTTAGAAAATACAGCCGTAAATATGATAAAACACATAATTTTCTATATTAGCATTAAAAGTCTTACACATGAATTACATACTACTCTCAAAATTTGCACATTTCATTAAAGATCTAGACCAATTGTTATCTGCTACTTCAAAATCCAAGATGGAGGAAGACACCTTAATATGATTTACATCCATTTTAGTAACCATGTTAACGCTTAAATTGAGCTCATTTTCAGGTTAAAGTATTACAATGGGAGAGGCTAATTTTGTTATGTCACTCGAAGGTGTGAATATTTTCTAAGTATATGTAAGAGAATGATAATCCCTTTCTTCATGATTAAGTACGAGCGTTAGCGAGTACTTATCATGAAGTAAGGGATTATCATTCTCTTACAAACTTAGAATATTGTAAAGTGCTCAAGGCTTAAATGATCTCTTGATTGGTTGTATTTAAGAATTAGTTCCATTGTCAGTGCAATGTTTGTAATTAATGCATGACTTCCTTTTTAGGCATGATTTCATTTATGGATTAGTTTTAGTAATGTAAGGACCTTCTTATAATTTAGGAAAATATAATAAATTATGTTTTATACATTAGATGACACAACAGTACAATGAAATGGTAAGAAATGTTTCCTGATTGTGAGTATCAATGTAAATCATGTAATATTTTAGCGAGGAATTACCTTTTTGTTTATTTCCATTTCAAATCAATTAATTCATTATTTGGGTTACAAATAAATTTTATTTTACAGCCAATATTTTAGTCCAGTCCTTTACATCAAATACTACTTCATTATGTCAGGGAAATGTTCAAATACAAAAATATATTCAAAAGTTAAACTAAATTCTTTTTTTTTAATTTTTATCAGAATATTGGAAATTACTATTCTCACCAACCGCGGATCCAGTAACCAATGTTACTGCACCAGTAAACTTCATCTAATTTTGGATTTTTTTTTGTTTGTTTCAAAATTCAACTTTTAGTCAGTTTTAATCACAAATTCTTTCAAGCTGATAAATGTGTTTCGGGGCATTTGTAACTCATTTATAGAAACTCTTTGTTTTGAACTGTAAGTAAGCCTTAACAATAGGATAATCCCTTACTAAGAACATGATTTCATTCATTCTTCACAATTAAGAAACACCAAATCCTACAATTTCATTGGTCGAAAGCACTTTGCTATATTCTAAATTGGTCAGACAATACTTGGTCATGTTTTATGAACATTAAAAACCCTCAGCTACGCCTGGGGCTTTAAATATTAAAAAAAACATGACCAAGTATTATCTAACCTATAAATATACCCTTATCTTTTTTCCAAATATTCGTGAAGATTTTAAATATTTGGCATATTGTCATATGATAAGAATGAGTTTCGTTCAGGTGTGAGCGATTTTTTCGGAAGTCGTGACACTGAGGCACAGCCGATGAGTTATAAAATAAATAAATAAACCTTGATTTCTTATGGATTGAGTCGGGCTGAATTATTCAAAAACTATTTTTTTCTACTACAAAGCAAAGCTAGCCTTAGCCAAATTGCACATTTTTTTAGATATTTTTTTTTGGTTCAAGTAATCTTCAAATCGTATTGGATTTCGCCTTTTAACTGTTTTTTAATCGATTTTCACCAACGAGTCTCGTGTAGACTAAACGTGTGACTGTCATACTAAATAATAAAGCTGGTATCTATAATCTTTGATAAGTTTTTTACCCCAAAGGGTGGCCAATTCCACTGCTATAGACTCTTTGTCCTCGAAGGTATCACCAGCCCAGTAGTCAGAACTCTTGTGTGACATGACATATCATTGATACGATCATTTTGTAAATCGTCTGTCTATGAAATGTGTTGGAACTATTTGAAACATGATTTTCTACCCCAGACATAGAAAGCATTAGATAGGTTTGGAAAAAAATAGAATTTTTGGTTGTCAATTCTCTTCAACTTTGTTTGTTTTTATTGGGCAATCTAACTGTTTTGATTCGAGCGTCTCGTATGTAGACACAACACGTGGCTGGCGTACTACATTATAAGCATGGTATCTTTGATGAGTTTTTTCAACAGATTCTTACTCATCTGATGTACTCCAAATGAATATTGATCATTCTTTTTGCATGAGAGACCCAGCGCATGTTATTAGATGAAGTGTTTTGCTGTTGAAGATCTTCATTGGATGCTCTGTTATACTTCACGATTTGCTGCAATAAAATCCATTTTGTAATCGTTGAATTATGACACATGGAATTGGATCGTCAAATAAAAAAAAATACTTATGCATCTAGAATTATCAAAGCCAGTTCCCTCGTTCATTATTTTTTTACGCGGGAAAATTACCACGCAGAATTTTTATCGCTGTCACAGACACAATCTTCTTTTTTTTCTCTCCAAGAACATTTTTTTAATAAACATCAAATGACCAACTAAAATAATCTGATTTCAGTGCTGCTACAATTGATGAAGAAACAGTACGCAAGGCGTTGTTAGACTATGCAAGTGACCAGTGTTGCTGGGGCAAAGGGGCAGCGCGAGATATGAAAATTGAAAAACTGGAGCCGTCTACTTCTTATCATGTAAGTAATATGTTTGTATAGTTTCTTTTAAACTTAATAAGACAATTATTTTTGTTCTATTTTTTTCAATAGTTCATTTCGTTTTTTGTTTTGGTTATGTTTTTTTTTCTACTTTAAATATTTAATTATACTAGTTGTTACAGAAAAGCACATATATTGTTAGTGAAATATTAATTAATTCTGTGTGAAATATTTTCGTATTTAAACTGTTAATGAATTCAAGAATGAAAAAAGTTAAAACTTTTCAGTATATACTGGAGACATTCACAGAAGGCAGACGAATAGTATTGGATCATATACCACACTATGGTAAGAACTTTTCTTTCTGCATATTTTTAAATCTAAATTATAGAATGGCAAATCAAGTACTTCCTTCACAATTATTCTACTTTTTGATTGAATTGTTCAGTTGTATATAGTCGATGAGCTCATTAACCAGCCTGTTCTTTTCCAACTTGCTTATATTTCTAGATGTAAGATGATTTTGCTGATCATTTGAAGTTAATGCAACAGTTAACCGATGTTCAAATGTCAAAAATGAATTAAGAAAATAAATAAAGGTAATAAACATAAAGAGCAAGACCGGGTGCATCGACAGAGTAAGCTTCTACTTTGCATGCATTACCCGACAGGAGATGCCACAAGCAGTCAAATTGTCGCAATCGGTAAAATTGCAGATGAATCGTGTATTCTTGGATCTTAAGATCTTAGTCTCCGAGTTTCTACGTTTGAACATTCATGACCGTAACGGTATTTTTGTTATACTTTTTTCCATACATTTAGAAAATAAAGTTGATGGACCTGAAAATGGACAACCTCCAGGACCATGGGAAATGCCAGCAAAAACTCCAACCATGTTTGAAGATGAAACGAGTGAAATTGCCATCCCACATACACATTACGTTAAAGTATGCTTAGATATTAGTGGAATTTAGATCTGGTTCAAAACAAAGGGACAAGAAAAAACAGGATAGTCTTTTAACCTCATTTTGATATGGATCGTTTATCTTACAAATCGTTTTAATACCGCTTTTATTTAAACGCGACATTTTACAATGTATAATGATAGGATATTGCCGTTGTCGTTCCTCTGTAGAGATTATGGTTTTGGTGTGACAAAAAATTGTGTTCTGCACAATTCCATGTCAAACATAACATTGACTCGAAGTAATAAACACATGATCAACATTCCTTTGTAGAAATTCTGAAATCGTATCTTTTTATCATGCATTGTCCGATATAATCCTTTATTTTTCTACGGGGTTTAAAAGAAATTTAGATGAAATTGTCTGTCTGCGTTTTAAAATGATAATACTTTATGGATTACGAGTCAAACCTTTCGGGATACGGAATGTGCTCAAATCCAAGTTAATAAATTTACCCTTCCATTTTTAAGCAAAATATTTCCAAAAGCTGGGATTAATATAAAGTTTTCGCATTCTTGATTCAATTTTTGACACACTCTTACGCTCGCATACGTTTAGAGAATACCATAAACAATACCATGTGTCAAATTCGTTTCGAAGGTTTTTTTGGGAAGAAGGAAAGAGAAAATAAGTCGTTATTCGTTTTCCATTCACATTTGTGTATAACGTCCAACAAAATCTTAGTCACGGTATCATTTGTTGTGAAACAGTTTGTTTCTACTATAAATTATGAGGCGTGGGAAATAATTCACACAATTCGATTTAAGGATCGATTAAAGGATACCCTTTAGTTCGATCGATTTCGGAATACACTATATTCGAATTGTGGAGATTCCGAAATATTTCAGGAGCTCCTTAGATACAACTTTTTTGACCAAATCTGCCCCTTATAGCATGTGCATGCACCTAATCATAATAAATGTAACATTTATGAATTAAAGTTTTGATTTTTTAATTGATCTCAACTAGAAATGAAATATTTTGCATTGCAGAGTTGTCATAATTGCGGGGCAAGCGGAAAGATTGAATGTTTTGTATGCCGTGGAAGTGGACGTGTGAGTTTGTATGATAATATTACAATACTTTAATTTTTGTTCACGACCGTTTGTGCACTATTTTGTATATAACTCCACGCAACGTGATTGGCACGAAACACGTGCTTTTATTCAAATTATGATCTCAGTAATTTCTGAAATACAGGTCCATAACATTTATCACTTGATTTGATGTAAGTAGTTTTATTTCACTCGGTATTTCAACAGCAATGAATATTCTTTATGGTTCCCGGAACGAAACCTAGACATGAAGTAATAGTCTGGGATGAAAATTTAATCATTTCATTATTATTTTAAGGCCCATACTGATGCCTTTTGCTGCGAATCTTGTGAAAATACACTGCATTTTTCAGTGTTATAGATTTGTGGTAGCACTTATTGCTCTGAAAGTTAAGGGAGGAGGATTTTTTTATTTGATCTTATTTAATTGAAAGGTAGCTTTCATTTTGATCTCATGACAAAAAGCCTTTAACAAAACGCTCGTTTGAGTATTGATCAGAAGAACAGAAAATCGCACTTGAACATGGTACATACATTTTTTTAATTTACATCTTCATATAAATTTGATTAAATTTTACAATGGAAAAAGGTTTTGTATATCCACTACGAGTTACAAGGTGGTGTGGCTATTTTTTCTTTCAATTAGATATATTAATTTCATCGGACCTTTATCATCAAATGTTAAAAAGGGGTTTAACTTTTTTGGTTCCCTTGTCTATATGTTGCTATTGTGTCGTTTCATGCTGTCTGTTATTTTTTTGTTAGTACTAAAAGTAAACTGTTGTTTAATTAACAATCATACTACATCTTCTAAATTTTTATATATGGTGTTAATTTGGAAATGATTAACATAATGGACAATCTTTACAGGTTCTCTGAATGAATAAGCCTTGGAATAGACGTTTTATTTGTTTAAATATACAGGTCAAATGCAATGGCGGTTGCAGTGGAAAAGGTGAACAAAAGGTTTATAGAAACAGCGCATGGGTAATGGAGAGGTGTAGTAGATGTAGTGGAAGAGGTGAAATAAGGTATGCATCATCTAAATATAATACTGGCTTATGAAATATGTATGTAAAAGAATCTTGGAAAAAGAAATGGTGAAATCCTGTATATGGAATATAAAGTTAACATCAACATGGTAAGTTAAGATTGAAAATGTAGAAAAGTGGTACATGTATTTACTTAGTACAGTGGATATGTATGGTGTCAGTATATGGTAAAATAAAACATCAAAAGTAGTAGTTTAGGTGTCAGACCACCAATTCACTCCATCCAATTTAGAACGTATGTAAAAGTTGCCCTACTCTGACACAAAATAGTGCTTTTGATGTCATTGTTTACTTAAACTAACCATCAAATTTGAAGAAATGAAACGTTTGGTGAAAGGGAAATATATTTAGACCATTTTGAGCCAAAATTTACTTGTCTATGAGATTGCATTAAAATTTAGGATTAATGCGCTCCATAGTATACTAATTTAAGATTTCCAGAAAACCAGGGGTTATTTTTAGTAGTACTTGTCTTCTGAAAGGCAGTTTTTTCTTAGAGGACTTTAAACATGGGTTAACAATTGTCATGTAGAAAGGTGATACATGTACAATTCAGGATATACCTGGTTTCTATGAAGTTAAACTTAAGGTAAAATGTTAAAAAAGCTGTGAAAGTTGCAAAATTTGGTTGAATAGATAGGGATTTTGAATTGGTGGTCTGAAGAAATAACAAACAATAGAGGCGGACTAGGGATGATGGGTAATTGCCCATCCTCTCCCCCTCTAAAAAAAACACACAACAAAAATGTGTCTGCATATGTAAGGGTGAACTTTGTATTCCAAAGGAAACAGAAAAGCTTGGAATTTTTTTCACAACATGCTAGTATTTAAATATTTGGTTGCAAAAGTTAGTCATCGATTAGATTCATTTTTACTAAATACCTCTGACTAAAAACTGTGTTCACTTTGATTGCAGTTGTAGTAGTTGTGGTAGTAGCGGAAGAAGGACGTGTACCAGTTGTAATGGTCACCTTCAACTATTGTGGTTCCAGAAACTCATCATTTCTTGGTAAGATGTTATGATAACATGAGTAGTTATATTGGTTGGAAACATATTATAACAATATTGGTGTTTTAACAACATTTTGTCATATTCTTAGTACTCACTCTAAGTATAAATGACGATAGATGACCACAAAGACCATTTTGATAAAAACCTTGGCAAGTTTAGATTTTTTAATATGTACATATGCAGTGAATTAACACTTCATAAATTTCGTCTGTCCTATTTTAAGGATTACGAGTTTCAAATTGTCTTCAATAATAATTGCAATATGAAGGAGAAATTATAATATTCGAATTTCATTGAAAAAGGTTGCTATTTTTTGTATCCTTCCTAGGTGAGGAAAATCAATTTCAAACTGCTGTTATGGGATGTATAAGTATACTTAATAAATTATTTTTATGAACAACTGCAAGATGTATATTTACAGTACTAGTATACATTTTTAAACGTGGTAATTTTTTAGGGAAAATTCTTCTAAAAGGCTTTTGATTTTTCATAAATTTGATGTACAAAGACGGTTGCTATGGATATACTGTAAACAACGCTCCATAAGATGATGATTATTTCGTCATTTGACTAATTTCAAAAGCACAAAAATACACATAACTTTCTTATCATATTTTATTATAAATAAAAGAAGAATGTGTCTGGACACGAAGGCCCCTGCTCAAGCTTTGCAATTTTCCAAGTTAAAAAGGGGCATAACTCAAAAATGGTAAATGACTTACAATCCAAATTTGAAAGAAAGCTGTCTACCTGGAGTTGTTCTAAGCATTGTGTATGAGTTTCATGAAGTATGGATGAGACAAACTTAAGTCAGAATGCGTAAACGAAAAAAATGCAATTTTCCAAGTTACAAAGGAGCATGACTCTAGAAAGGTAAATGACTCACTGCCCAAATTCCAACTCTGTCTGCGAGTGTTGGTTCTCAACATTGTGATTGAGTTTCATAGAATTTGCATGATGTCAACTTTAGTTAGAGTGCGGAAACGAATATGAGACTACCGGTCGGACGGACGGACAGACGGACGGACGGAAGTACAGAAGGACGGTTTAGGGTAACACTTAATGCCCCCGTTGCCCACGGTGGGGGCACAGAAATAGAAAATTCAGAAAATGTGAGAAGTACCGGAAAATTTACTGTTTTTCCTTTGAACCCATGCTCAAATTAATGAAAAGAGTTTTGTTCGGAGTTATTTTCCCGTCTTGTATCACCTATTTTCAAAATACATCTACGAATAATATGCATATAAGGATAAAAAATTGCAATATATATTATTTCAGTTTATGCATTTATTTTTATGTAACATGGGATTTTCTTACAGGCGAAACAACCGGGCTGAACATGTTGTGGAAAAAACAAGCCTTCCACCAGAGATGGTCGCTCATGCGTCAGGATCCATTGGGTTTGAGGACTTACAGCAACAGGTATATAGTTTCTTTATTTCATTTAATTATTGAAAACTTTTGTATGCAATGGATTCAAAATATTAACAAATGTGAGTGGATTAATACAGAAGTACATCTCTGATTATTTTAACATATTTACATGTGTTCCATCTATGTATGGATGTTCCCTTATTTCACATGATATGTTATGCCTGTTTTATCATTTTTCTGTTGTTTTACTGAAGAATTATTTCGATTCTAATAGGAGTATTAAGAAATGTTTTCGTTCGAAGCAACTGTAAAGTGTTCAAATATATTTGCTTTTTAAATGATATTGTTTTAATTTCCTAGCAGGCAACACCAACAGACATTTCCATTTTGATCTTCATTGTCATTCAAAAAACAGCAGTTGATGCAAAAAGTAAAATAACAAAAATACCGAACTCCGAGGAAAATTGCAAGTTTAATGGTAACATCGCGCACGTGTTTCCCATGTTATGTTTTAATCAGAACAGGGCTTTATTTAAAAAGCGAAAGAAGAGCATTATATTAGAACGGCAGATACGTTTATACAGTAACACATTTCCGAACTGGTTCATCATTTGTTGACAGTCAGAAATATTTATCTTCTAATGTTTTCTTTAAATGATCGACAGTAGGCGAACCAATAATAACAAATGTTGAATGAAATTTTGTAAAGATCACTGAAAACTTGATGATTACCGAAAACCTATGATGTTTCATTTCCATATTGCAATAATCTCTTATGTACCACACAAACATCCACGTTAAACATGGTTCGGCGATAAAGTGTATCGACAAGTAGTAGGTATTCCTATGGGCACTAACTTTGCCCCTTTAATAGCAGATTTATTCCTATATTGCTATGAATCTCAGTTTATGACCAAAATCAGTAAAGACACGTCATTGTTACATTTGGTTGATACATTCAACAATACCTTCCGTTATCTGGATGATATTTTTTCGTTAAATAATCCAGAGTTCTCTAAATATACTACCGAAATTTACCCAAAAGAACTTGATTTAACTAAATCTAACATAAACAGCAGTAGTTGTCCTTTTTTAGATTTGGACATTTCAATTTCTAAAGGAAACTCCATACTAAAATTTACGACAAAAGAGACGACTTTTCATTCCCTATTGTTAATTTTCCTTTTTTAGACGGCGATGTTCCTTTGGCTCCATCATACGGTGTTTATATATCCCAACTCGTTCGTTATGCCCGTGTGTGTAGTGATGTCATAGATTTTAACGAACGTAATCAATGCATCACTGGTAAATTATTAAGTCAGGGATTTCGTTACCATAAATTACGTAAAACTTTTACTAAATTCTTTCATAGATACAAAGATTTGATTAGTAAATTTGGCTGTACCTGTAGAAAACTGATTAAAAACGGTATTTCACATCCTAAATTTAACGGTAATATTGTACTTAAAACGCGGAAATCACTATGTGATCCGTGTAAACTCATCGAACCTTTAAACAAACTTATTAGTAAAGGTTATCTTACCAATGTTGTAATTAGATCTTTGAATATAGATTACATTGGCACTAATATCGATTTTGTCATCAGCAAACTAAAACATAACTAAATTTGTATTCTTTTCAAACGGGATGTATAAAGACACACCCACGTTCATTTTGATCTATAAAGAGGTTAACTCCTAAATATCCTACTGCCTGTCGATACATTTATTTTTGGCATTGCACAAGTCATGTCTTTTTTGACTGTCGATGACGTTAAAATACTAAATCTCTGGGATGTGTTTTAGTTGATTTTAGTCTCTGATGCATGGCTTTTAACTAGCTGTAAGTAACTGCGAGTACTCTCAAATCGTACTTTCTTGTTTATTTGACCTGTTGATACTAATTGTAATGCTTTTTTGTTATTCAATGTTTACTTTTTCAGGGTTATATCTGGTCCATATACCAGCTTTGATAAGTGTTTGGTATTACTATAAATTTTCACTTCCTCGTACTATAAACATCAAAATTATTTATTTTGTAAAAATATTTCCTTTCTCAATTTGAACTGTACACGTATACCTAACAACAAAATTATTTTCATTTACCTGTGTTTAAAGTAAATGTAAATGGCTGATATTTTTGTTCAAGCATATTGTTTTTCTTAAATTGTTTAACATTTCACAGCGGTATAACATGTTACTTTAATTATTCTTCCCTTAGTTTATTTATTTTGTATTTACATTGTATCATAGATCAAATTTATTTGTTCAGTGTATGTTCAGTGGTGTTAATATGTCTTTTGATTGAGTTAAGCCATTTCAATTGATATTTTATAGTGTGTCTTTCTATGTTGTGATGTTACACTATTGTTTCAGATAAGGGTGAAGGTTTGGTACCATTAAAACGTTTCAACCCGCTGCAATTGTTTGCACCTGTCCTAAGTCAGGAATCTGATGTTCAGTAGCTGTCGTTTGTTGATGTGGTTCATAAATTTTTCTCGTTTCACGTTTTTTATATAGATTAGACCGTTAGTTTTCACGTTTGAATGGTTTTACACTAGTAATTTTTTGGGCCCTTTATAGCTTGCTGTTCGGTGTGAGCCAAGGCTCCGTGTTGAAGACCGTACTTTGACCTATAATGGTTTACTTTTATAAATTTTGACTTGGATGGAGAGTTGTCTCATTGGCACTCATACCACATCTTCTTATATCTATTCAGACATCAATTTTTTTTAAATAAAAGATTAAGTTAACATCTCGTTTCAAATAAAAATTAGCACCTCTAGGAATATTCATAGTCTATATTGTGATTAGTGTGTAATTTATGCTGTACTATATAGATTTTTGAATGAATGAAATGATTCAGAAAAAGAGAGGGACTAAGAATTTTGAAAATTTGAAGGATTTTCATTGAAATAACTAAGAAAAGGCTTTGCCAAAAACTTGCTGTAGTAGCTGGGCTGCTAGGTTATACAGTTGGCTTTCCAAGATTTTGCTGAAGCCAATGACAAATACATACCAGTAACTTATCATGTCCCATTTCCATATTTATTAAATTTGTTTTGAAGAAGTTTATCGATGTGTAAGCGCAACCGACTGACTCAAATACTGACTAAGCATCCTGTCATGTGATGTTGTCGTTTTTGGTGTTGTGTTTGACGTTGCCATAAAAGCGGGAGGTTTGGCATGCCACAAAACCAGGTTCAACCCCCCTTTTTTTTCTTCAAATGTCCTGTACCAAGTCAAGAAAATGGCCATTGTTATATTATAGTTCGTTTCTGTGTGTGTTACATTTTAATGTTGTGTTTTTGTTGTGTCGTTGTTCTCCTCTTATATTTGATGCGTTTCCCTCAGTTTTAGTTTGTAACCCGGATTTGTTTTTATCTCTATCGATTTATGAGTTTCGAACAGCGGTATACTACTGTTGCCTTTATTTAAATAATCATCAAAGAAACAAGACTTTCGTACTTCAAACGCACGTTTCGTCTACACAAGACTTGTCAGTGGCGCTCTTATAATAATAGTTGGAAGTACACACCAATTAGGAAGTTGAATGGCATTGAAAACCAAACTTTCAAAATTATGATTATTTGAAATAATTCTCATAAAAGACAATAACACTATATAAATGAGTTGCGTCCGAAGCGCTTTTCTGATTTTACCTTTGTCAGGAGCGCACAAAGCAAAAAAATTGAAAGCAATGGATAAATACTTGAATAAATAAAGGCAACAGTAGTATACCGCTTTTCAATACTCATTAATCGATTAAGTGAAAAAAAAACAAATCCGGGTTACAAACTCAAACCGAGGGAAACACATCAACTATAAGAGGAAAACAACGGAACAACAGAAACACTGAACTGAAAACTTCAGAAGCTATATCACCAAAAAGAACATAAAAATCCCCCCAAAAGTTAAACTTTGCCTGAGGGAGTTGGAACCTTCCTTACTTAATAATTTCCAAATTTATGTACAGATAATTTAAAATAAATAAAATAAAATGCACAAAAAGTATGACATGATAAAAACAACAACACTAACCAAAATACTTCGCCTATGTATGAATTCATACTTGTTGCTTCATAAAACGGTGTTATAAATGATGTTAAAACTTCTTGGTTGCCAAGGAAATAAGACTCAACATACAACATTTCTACATATAGTTTTGTTTGGTGTATTGATAATGTTTTATAAAGTACTTGACTTTTTTATTATCATTGGAGGTCCTTCCGTTGAAAAAGTTTCCAGAACCAGAAATAAACTCTGCCTCTCAAAGACTTCTAGGGGAACATAAGTTTCCAGATAGCCGTATATTAATGCAAGTAAGATTTACGTTTTGTTTTATCAAGTTTATATTAAAAACTCGATAATGTTTATTTTGTTTGCAAGTTCATTTATGATAATCAAAAATTCATATATGGTGTAAAATTAGATGACATTTCATACTGTTGTTGCGCAGATATTTCAGTATTTTTATTTCCTGCGAATACTTTTTTTTTTTAATATGAAGAACAAATCAAGTGTTAGAGTTTCTATTCAATGCCTTTTTTATGCAGCGTCACAAGATCCGCATCATTGCTGTTACCAAATGCATCTGTAAATACAAGAATAAAGATATGACTTACTATGTGTACGGTTTGGAGAATGATGTACACGCACCTGATTATCCACAACAGTCATGTTTTGGATTTATTAATTGTCCAAAATGTAGCTTGGATTGCTGTCCAGAAAGCATAAGAGAAGATTGTGATTTTTTTAAAGAAGAATGTTCAATTTTGTAAACATAAATGAAAATTTTATGTTATATCTGATAAAGGTAAAAATAAAGCTGAAATAGATGTAGATTTCGGTTAAAATGTAGTTTCCCCAAAATGTCTTCTATATTTAATAGCACTTTAAACATGTTTACCTTTTTGATATTGTTTCATATATGTACATATGTTTTGATTTTTTTTACAATTTCATCTCTTTACTTGACGTGTTAATTCATAAAGTGTACTGTTGTGTTGTGGTTTTAATGCTGAATACTTGTAGATATTCCAAAATCACATGAAATGAGTTTCTTGTAATAATAACGTTAAAGGAAATCATTGCACTAATGCATACATATATACCAAACCAAGTCCTCTGTGCACGTGTGTTTTAACATTTATTAGGAATAATCGACAAATCGACAAATATTTCATTCGGTGATTGTTGATCGAACACTTTGGCTGTTAATTAACTTTTAGGTTTTGGTGCCGAAGTTTACCGATCGTAACCTTGATAATAATCAACACAGAATCATACAACACTTCAAAATGAGTGAGGCGATAGAACGGTGTTTAATTCTTTTATTTTATATATTTTTTTTCAGAATCAATTAATACTATCTATGTATCACATTTGTTTACCGTTTCCGTCATCACGGTTTTTTTTTCTCGCACTTGTGCTGTGCAGTTGCCGAAGTTGTAACTAGAGGTCTCATGGTTAAGGTAGAATTGAGAATGGAATTGGGGAATGTGTCAAAGAGACAACAACCGGACCAAAGAGCAGAAACAAACCCAAGGCCACCAATGGGTCTTCAACGCAGCGAGAAAATCCCGCACCCGGAAGCGGGTTTCGGTTGGTCCCTATACAATAATGTATACTAGTTCAGAGAAATGGACGCAACACTAAACTCCGAAACATATAAATGAACCAAAATAAAAATAAACCACACTAGACTAACAAAGTCTAGAGGTTCCAGACTTGGGATCGGCGCATAACTACCCGCTAAAAAACTGTTGTTGAATTAGAGTACGGGAAGACATTAATTCAATATCAGTAGTCACTGTACATTTTTGAAGATTTAAATTAGATAAAGGATTTTCTTTCACAAGATAGTTCATATATAAATAAAGGCAAAAGTAGTATACCGCTGTTCGAAACTCATAAATCGATAGAGATAAAAACAAATCCGGGTTACAAACTAAAACTGAGGGAAACGCATCAAATATAAGAGGAGAACAACGACACAACAAAAACATAACATTAAAATGTAACACACACAGAAACGAACTATAATATAACAATGGCCATTTTCTTGACTTGGTACAGGACATTTTAAGAAAAAAATGGTGTGTTGAACCTGGTATATACATATATACGTGTTTAAAATAAAACTAAGCGATTCAAGTATATAAAACATATTTATTTTTTCTTATTTGAAGTACCTTCTGATTGTAACTTAAATTTTAAAGGATCTGTGATATGTTTATTGTCTTTATTTGTATCATTTCTATAATTTGGTATTTGATTGTTTTATAGAAGTTGCACCATACAAGTTGTATTCCTTTTTAGTTTGTTTTTCAATTCACTACCTTATATCAAGATAACACTGCAATTGATTTATATCTGTGTATCTTTGAACGGGTGGTCGGTATGCTGGAGTTTCTTATCGACAACATATTTGTTGAATTTGGAGGTAGACTTTTTCAACAAATTGTCGGCATTCCTATGGGAACGAACTGTGCGCCTCTCCTTGCCGACCTCTTCTTATTTTCATATGAGTCGGAGTTCCTTCAGACACTTGTCAAAAACAAGAAGATCAAAGAAGCCAGATTATTTAATTTCACTTTTAGATATATTGATGATGTTCTTTCCATTAACAATCCGAACTTTTCTGATTGGGTTCCATTAATATATCCCCCAGAACTAGAAATTAAAGAAACAACAGACACGGCTTCCTCCGCCTCATTTTTAGACTTATATCTCGAATTTGACATACACAGTCATCTCAGCACCAGAATCTATGACAAACGAGACGATTTTAGTTTTAAAATTATAAATTTCCCCCACCTTAGTAGCAATATTCCAACTTCACCTGCATATGGGATATACATTTCCCAACTTATTCGATATTCAAGAGCTTGCAGCTCCTACTCAGACTTTGTAAAACGTCACCAGTGTCTGAGCAGAAAGTTGATGAACCAGGGGTATGTCAAAGAACGTCTCGTCCTTTTTCTAAAAAAAGTTCATCGGAAGGTACCAAGACCTTGTTGATAAATATTCCGTATCAACTTCACAAATAATACATGATGGTCTTGAAGTATAGATTCTGCATACTGACGTTGTTTATCATCTTAACAACGTGTAATATTGTTCTTTCATTTGTCTTTGTTCTATTATTAATATTACTTTTACTGTTTGGTTTGTTTTCTGTGATATCCATTTGACGTGGCTAGGTACTTATACATCCCGTCAATGTGTTTGTATTATCTTTCATTTTTGCTGGTGTGTTTTGTATATGCGACTTTTTGTGTTTACGTGGTTCTTATAACGTGACTCTGTACTTTAAAAGATCCCGTCATTATGTTATTGTTCTATTATATGTCATTATGTTATTGTTCTATTATAAATTTGAAAATACTTTGAACGACAAACGACAAATTTATTTTACTCGCGAAGTGGTATTTACCATATGTGGATTCTTTAAAATTCTAAAGAACTTCTGGACAATTTTAAATCTCGGTCTATTTCTGAAATTAATTCTAACATAACTTTTGATTTTTTAACCCTGTATACCAACATTCCCCATGTGAAATAATAAAATTGTTTTGAATAAACATTGAATGACAAACTTTTTTCTTATGTGACGTTTACATTTTCTGACGTCAGACACGCGAAGCAATGAATGTGGTTTTTAATTTGATAGATGCTTTTGTGCTTTTTTTGTAAATAATTGTTTGTTTTGATATTGTAACACAGTGATGACTGCTGTACCCATATTTTGACTATTTTATTTATAATGTCTGTTTTGTTCACGCATCGTTGTAAATATAACGGAATTTGATAAGACTGTCGTACAAGTGAGAGGTTTAGCGCTATAAAACCAGGTTCAATCCACCATTTTCTACATTTGAAAATGCCTGTACCAAGACAGGAATATGACAGTTGTTGTCCATTCGTTTGATGTGTTTTGTCATTTGATTTTGCCATGTGATTAGGGACTTTCCGATTGAATTTTCCTCGGAGTTCAGTATTTTTGTGATTTTACTTTTTTTGATGAGTTTTTAACTTAGAGTTGAAGGTATTAAAATTGTTTGCATTGTTTTCTCAACTGTAATCACAACAAAGACTGGTAAATAGATTTAGAAAAATGTGTTCGTAAAGGTTGATAGATCAATCCTAGGACAGATAATAATTGTATGTTTTAAAAACAATTATTTATGCTGGTTCGGTAGTCCTATTTCCTATTACCAACTTTGATTTTGGATTGTATAGTTTTCTCTAAGAGTTATTCCCCCTAAGATTGGATATTGTGATGCTGTAAATCCCTATTTTGGTTTATTTATTGTCTTAGTGTATGAAATTTAGGAAAGTATCATAGCAGAAAGATCTGAAAAGACTGTAACGATAGTAGTAAGCGTGATGTTTGAAGGTGATTTCATACATGTACGCTTCCATTTCGAAGCTTATAAACCGTTTTTATGTTTCTATACACGACAAAATCATCTAAAAACAGTTGATTGTTTTTTCAAATTGCACTGAGTACTAAATGTATTACCGCAGAGTAGATAACCTGTCGAAAAATTATATACTCATAAGTCGGCGATAAGAAATTCGTATATTTCCAAAGAGCAGGAGTCCTATGCTGAAGTATACGTTTCTGTGAACCAATTCATGTATTTCTTGGCAAATGTGTATTTTGTATGTCATCAAATGGACACGAAATTAATCATTTTTCCCCGAAAAAGAATTTTCCGTTTATGTGTTGTCCTCATTACTATATTGGGACAGTTTTTGTGTGAGGAGCATCCCTGTTAATGAAGTTCGTATAATGTGGACATGCAGGCCCGTAACGTATCAATTGACATATAAACTGACTAAAATGTGACTTATTGATTGGCAGAACATCATCAATATATCTCAAAAAAGAAATTAAAGAACTTTGCCAGATTTGTTTTCTTTTTGTCTTTGAGAAGGCTTTGTATGAATTCTGTTTCATATGAGTACAATACAGGTCGGTCGGTAGAGGTGCATATTTAGTACCCATTGGAATACCGACTGCCTGTTAAAATATCAATCCACAAGTTTATGAAGTATGTTGTCGATCAAAAAGTCCTTCGTTTTGATTATATCATCTTCGGTGTATTTGTATTTGAAATGTGCAGTTCTTCACATTTGGATCTCCGATTCCCATTTTTTGGTAGAAAAGCTCTGTTTAATGAAACAATGTATTCGATATTTCAATTGCGCATGGGGAAAAGTAGCGTAAAGCGTATAGAAACGTTCCGATATTTATGCAAAACTGTTAAGAATGTGAATGCTGATTTTGCAATATATTATAAGAATTTTCAAGTATTAACATCTGATTGACACCGTTTGTTAAATAATCCTCATCACAATATTTCTGAATAACTGAGAAACTGACATAAGCTTTCAGACTAAACTTTGACCATTGAACAATAAACATTAAATCAGGTCAGATACAGACTTTTACATCTCACAACTATACATACGTGACCAATTTAGCTAAGAAATAATAAACTGACATAATTACGAAAAATCAAGGTTAATAACTGACTTGTAAAAAGGGGCCAATCAGGTGACTCCACATAGTCGGGCATTTTCACCATATGATCATTGTATAGACAAAATAAAGTTAGTAATGAGACCTGAAAAAAGCACACAAACTTTATTCATTTATCATTGAATCGGAAAGAGAAGTCATCGACAGGAAAAGCCTGTTAGATGGACATGGTCAGCATCTAACCACTACATTGACCAAATGAAACCGACAAAACCACAGATTCAATGTTAATAACTGAACCCCCAAAAGAGGTCATTGTCATGTGACCTCAAGCATTTTTTTATAGCTATTTTATAGATTAATTATAGTTGACCGTTTACTCGAAGTTACGGATAAAATTACTTAAGCGTGAAAATTTAAAAAAAGGTGTGATAAGGACACCTTTCACTCCCTTGTATTCGAAAATCCAAAAATGTTTTATATAATTACTATTAAAGGAAAAGGCTTATAATTTCATACGCCAGACGCGCGTTTCGTCTACATAAGACTCATCAGTGACGCTCAGATCAAAATAGTTAGAAAGCCAAAACAAGTACAAAGTTGAAGAGCATTGAGGACCCAAAATTCCAAAAAGTTGTGCCAAATACGGCAAGGTAATCTATACCTGGGATAAGAAAATCCTTAGTATTTTGAATAATTCATACTTTAGCAAACAGTAAATTTATAAAAATGACCATATAGTTGTTATTCATGTCAACACCGAAGTGCTGACTACTGGGCTGGTGATACCCTCGGGGACGAAACGTCCACCAGCAGTGGCATCGACCCAATGGTGGAAATTACTATCAAAGTTACCAGGCTTATAATTGTATACGCCAGACGCGCGTTTCGTCTACATAAGACTCATCAGTGACGCTCAGATCAAAATAGTTAGAAAGCCAAAACAAGTACAAAGTTGAAGAGCATTGAGGACCCAAAATTCCAAAAAAGTTGTGCCAAATACGGCTAAGGTAATCTAGCAAATTATTCTATTCACAAGATGTAACGAAAAGCGACGAAAAGACAAACCAGTATACAAAACAAAACACAGAAAACTGTAAAGACTGGGCAACACGAACCCTGCCAAAAACCGGATGCGATCTCAGGTGCTCCAAAAGGGTAGGCAGATCCTGATCGTGTTGCCCATGTAGGTACAAATTTGAATATAAGTCTCATTCAACTTTACCAATTAGCACTCTGGTTTTATATTTCCGGTTATGACACATGACTAAGTGGGAATTAGCATGGCAGTTGATGCATGCATAGCAGGAGACGCTTACTCTGCCGACGTACCCAGTCTCAATCCTTTACTCAGTTTTTGTTTGTTACCTTAATAAGTCTCCTCCGAATCGATTTGTAAGATTTGAACATCGGATAACTACTGTCGCCTTACTTGAAAGATTTCTTGTAAGCAGTAACCGTCTATCAATGAAATCATGATAAACGCAAGGTCTTGAATATCGTATTAACTTGGAGATATATACACTCCATATGGAGTAGTGCATGAATAATGAAACATAAATCTCTCAGATATCATTATGAACAATTTTGTAAAATTGCAGAGGAGAGGCCTGACTATAACTGTTCTCATGCCTCGTATTTTTACGTAAATGTTTCACTGATCTATGATTAAAAATAACTCCATTATTCATTATATACACTATTTGTCTTATCTAGCTCTCCAAAAAAGTAAATACGTTAATTGCTTTAGTTTATGGTGTCGTCGCCTATGCCGAATTACCATACGCATGATACATTTCTCGTCTTATACTCTTTCCGAAACGAGACAATTAAGCCAGACATGTTGTTTCTCAAACTCGATTTATAACCCATTATAGAATTTTTGACCAACATGACCAACACATGTAATCATATAATGTGCATATTGTTTGATGTAGATTTCTGTAGCTATAGGCAAGATTTTATATTGGTGTCAATATCTAAGCATAACATATCTCGTTCACTGTTATCCCGAAATCGCTTGGAATTGCTGTTAATCGTGATATTTAGGGATCGCTGAATGAATATTGACTAACGAATGAGGTCTACATTATGTGAATATAAAATAATAAGATGTTGTATGATTGCCAATTGCCTCTCCACCAGAGATAATTAAGATCACACGTAGATGTAATTAATTATAGGTCACCAATTATGTTTTAATCTGTATCGTTGATCGTAGTATGCCATTTAAAAACCATGGCGTATACAAAATCTGAAATTTTTTCCTAATATGTTTCATGTATATGGCTTTTTCGGTTTTAACATTTTTTTATGCGTTTTTGCCTACTATCTTGAAAACTATAATAGATAGGTAGAAATTAAGTGAAAAAAAATTATCAGCAAGCCAAAATCTACATATAAGTCCACATGGCCCCAGTCGTCATGCAGTCAACTCCGTATAGGAATTACTGCCCGTTATTATATATTTTTTTGTTATTTTGCCCATTATCTTGAAAACTATAGTAGATAGAGAAAAACGGATTAGCAAAGACAAATTCCATAATATTTTAAGATGGCCGAAAATGTCAGTCACCTATTTATAAGAGTTATTACCTTTAATGATGATGTTCACCCATTTTTGCATTTTCGAGGAATCTTTAGTTGATGAAGAAAACTCTAAACAACAAAAAGGATCAGCATGACACGATGTAAAAATTGGTAAACATAGCCGAAATTGTCAGTTGATTCCTTGTATAAGTTATTGCCATTAAAAGACGATTTTCACCATACTTTTGTATTTATAGAATAATATGGTTTATCACATTTATAAGATAAACCAATTCAATGAAAGAAGTTTGATTAATTTCTTTACTTTTCCATAAAATAACTATTGCATCATTCGGATCCGTATGTTGTTTCCCGCTAATTAACATCACGTGATTCTTCAGCCTTACATTGAACTAGCCACTTTTGTAGATAAGTAAAAGTTTCAAAAGACAATCGTCAAAGAATCTACAACATCCGCATTTCATATTCTAATATTTAGAAATGGACTTTCTAAGGGTTATTTTACGGGGGGGGGGGCTTTATGATGAGTGTGTATAGACCCACTCCCGTGGCAAGATTAAGGGGTTATGATCCTTTCCTGTATTGTACATCGTATCATATTAGGTTTTTACTCTCCTGCGTTACCGCAGGAAGTTCTATTGAGACCATTTCATGTCTACCATGAGTGGCCGGTTCTAAATTGGTACCAGTTCGATCTTAACTGTTTTATGATCTAGATTGTGAATCTTCACTCTCCTGACAACCAGGGGGGTAATGCGAATATGAGCCCATGTATTTGGGGATCATGGCCCTCGTTCTCTTTAGTACTTATTCTTTAGGAACTTGAACATCCATTGTCGACTAACTTTACCGACCGTGCAAGACCCTCATGGGTAGTCAAGGTCGTTAAAAATCACCCTCATCATCATCATTATCCATTGTCACCAATGGTGCACAGACTTGTCAATTAAAACAATTACGTCGGCATTCTACTATCATGTCAGATTTCGTCATTCGAAGTGCACTATGGCCGCTATTTTCTACAAATATTATTTGTTTGTTATACTTTGCCTTAAACTTGATTCTTAAATGCTAGCTTCTTCCGAGAAGCTCCTGTATGAATTTAGCCTTGTATGAATAAAGGAACAAGTGAACAGGAAGAGGAGCATAGTTGGTCCCCATTAAAATGTCTATTGTCTGTATTGTACTGATTACAATTGTCCAATAACTAAAAGTATCCTGTAATACTACTTGCATTGTAAAAAAAATTGATGGTTTTCAGTTGAAAAAAATATTGATGCACAATTTTATTTAAACGTTGCAGTGAATACAATACATAGTAAAAGTCTTATTTTTATAATTCTTCTTGTCACAACAAAGTTATAACAAAAGTTTCTGCTTCATAAAATGCCATCACATCCTAATTAGCCTCTAAATTCTGAATCAATTATAAGCATTAACCATAATCTTAGTTGTACACAGAATTATGCTGGTCATCTTGTGCCGTTGAAAAAAATAAACAATTTAATTTAAAATTAGAAACTAAAACACCTGCAAGACAGCATCTTTAATTATGAAATATCCATACCCAAATATAATTTTAGGTTATTTGATTTTATGATAAGTTAACAGATTTTAAGGAAATAATAATCAATAATACAATGATTTAATACTAACGATTTCGTTAAATGAATGTAGAAACATATTTCAGTAATCTCTAACTGAGGTATCTTCCAAAACACAATTATATTTTACTCAAAAATAAGACAATGGAAAATATATTAACTATAACAAAATTCAAAACTGAGAGTAATTAATGTAATGATTAACATTATTGGTCATCAAAGAATAAAATAAGTTTGGCCTTTTATGAACAAAATGATGATACATGGATAAAGTAGGTTTAGAGTGATTCATGTAATTACAGGTTTAAATACATGAGAGCAAAGTGGTTATGGATTTTTTCATGCATTTGGAATTTTTTGAACTACATCTGTATATGGGAAAAAAATGATATCATGTAGCATTTATACTTCAAGAGATAAATTTGATTCAAATTGTTTGAACTAAATCTATAAATAGGAAAATTCATGTAAACAACTGAACCTGAAATGTTAGTATTTTCATGTTGTTCACAATATGCATTATTTTGTTTTACAACAACGATACATCTAGCCCTGCTTTTTAACATTGATAGAAACCCCCTGATTTTTATAAATCGATTATTTTGTAATATTTTGATTAAATATTTTGAAGGCACTTCTTGTATTCAAGTGAATGACATGGAAGACATACAAGGTATCAGTAGATTAACAATAACTTAATACGCAGGACTATGTAAAGGTTAATATACAATTGATAATTTTCCCAAATTTTAAGGCAACTATACCATACTTGAATGATTGCCATGAATTAAAAGTGTTGTAAAAAAAAAAATGGAAATCACAACTTATTTACTCTATTCTGGATAAATGTATTTTTCCTGAGTGGGGAAAAAAGGGAAAATACAAAATGGGCATTCAAAAACCATAAACCAAATAATAGACGAAATGATTAACAACAGTCCATGAAACTTTACATAGAGAACCCACCAAAGCATTGGGCTGAGTGTATGTGCTCCATTACAATCCCCATTACAAACATGTTTAAATAATTCTAAGACATTAACTTGACAACATTTTTTCCATATTTGCCGAAGTCTTTACATTTGCTTTGCATAGTTCATCCTGGTCTTTTAAATAAAACACATAGTAGTTAATAGTTCAGATATCTTATAAGAAAGTATCATGCAAGTCATATTGACTGCATTTAAATATAATTTGGAAGGTAAAATCAAGAAATCACAATTTGATAAAGCATATTACATTTTTTTTTTTTATCTAAATTTTTTTAAAATTTTTGTTACAAGACAAATTAGTATATACAGTATTTATACTACAATGCAATATATTGCTTAGGCTTATCGTAAACCGTAACAAGCAAGTGATAATATTGCATCTGTTAATAAATGAGGAAATTTGTTTACTATCTTTGATGAGTTTTACCAGAATGCTTTGATAAATGTTACTATACATTTAAGATTACAGGCACCACCATGCAGTGGTTCACCGAAACGACATGTCTGTGTCTTGACTCACGTGAGATTTGCTTTCGCTGCCTTAGATCTCAGACTCTCAGAACCTATCGTGTGATATTCTTTATCGTGCAATTTTGACTGAAATCTGTTTTCTTGGTTACAGTGTATCCGCACAAATAACATATTGTGCAACTGATTACAACTCAAGACATGCGCACAGAAAAATATCTGAAACCTAATTTCAATGGCTAGATAGTCTTAAAAATACATGTTACAATCCACATAAAATAAACTGTCTACCATAAAAATGTCATGAAACTTGTTCAATTAACAATTATCAACAATGTGAACAGTAGCAATTAGATTTATGATTTATTCTTAACTCTAGTTTCAAATACAGTTAAGGGAAAACCCTTCCAATAAAAATAAAAATTGTTACGCGAATTTTTAGTTTTGCCATCATGTGGCCCTCATTAAAAAAAGGTGTTAAATTTTGGTCTGCAACATGTTTCATTCGCGATTCAAAAATGTGCTCGCTCAAAGAACTGATTAAGAATCATTTATAATCAACAGCTGTACCAATAAATGACAACTGACAGACATAATCATTATATACTAGTATATTTGAGATCTTATTTTTAACCACATACTCTATATATGATATCGAACTCTACAAACAATAAGTGGAAAAAATTCCTTTCTAAAAACAGTTACAAAACTGAAAGGAAGAGTATTACAGCAAACATATATATTATATCTATTGTGAAAAACACATGTTACAAAATTACATTTTGAGGTACATTAAAGAGACTTTTTGCATATTTACTGATTAACAATCATTTTGAAAAAAGAAAATCAGTTTATTTACTTTTAAAAATAATTATAATTTTTATGTCACAATTATGAGTAGCCTTTCCCATTTAAAAAAAAAAAAATTGTCAAGGGATTTTTTTTATTTTTGCCATAATATGACTACTCTTTTTATAAATTTAAGTTTTGCACCATGTTTCATTCAATATATCAGACAGTGTAAATGCTTGTTAAAAAAGCCGATTTCAGAATCGTTTACAAGCAACAGATTTGTACCAATAAATGATTACATATATTTGAGACTTTCATTCAAACCACATATAGTATATATGACACGTACATCTACTAACCGTAAAGGGAAATAGTATATACATATTAATGCCTTTCTAAAAAGTAGTTAAAAATCCGAAATCAAGAGTATTACAGCGAACATATATATATTATTATACTTTTAAAAACGCACTATGTTGCAAAGTTATAAAAAGTACAGTGTAAACAATGGACAGTTTGAGGTAAAATACAAGGACTATTTGCATATCTACTGACTAAAAATCTTTTGTGAAAAAAAGAAAGAATTTAATCCTTTTTCTGAAATTAAAACTATGACCAACCCTTTGCATTAAAAAAACATAATTATTACGGTACTTTTTCTATTTACCAGCATATGACAACTCATTAACACATCTTTGTGCTGTGACATGTGTCATTTGTGCTGTAAAATGTTTCATTTGTTCTGTGACATGTTTCATTTGTGCTGTGACATGTTTCATACAAGATTGATTCAATACCGTGAAAAGGGTTGCTCAAAGAAATGATTGAACAATAAAGCAAAACACCTTAAACTATGAATAATATCATATATCAGAGCCATGAAATAAAACCATCTACTATATATACATATATATTTTTTCGTTTGGGCTTCGGGTTTATATGATCCGTTCATCCTATCTCTGAAAACATCTAGTTTACGTTACCCAGTAATATATGTAAACTTTTGTGTACAGTCAATCTTCTTCAATATTTCACCATGTATATTTTTACACAATATAAAATAACACGAAACGTTCCACTTGTACACTTCTATATATCAAAAAACAAATGATTAGGAAATAATTCATGGCTGCCGTAGATTTGTTTTCATTTAACCATGGGTTGGGCATTTACATTTGATTATTTTATACTGAGCGATAACGAAGGGTAAATACGGATATAAATGCACAACCCTTGATTAAATGAAAACAAATCTACGGCTGCCAAGAAATTATTTCGATTCTAATAGGACTAATACTGTAATTTCACCAACCGCGAAAGCCCTATACACACGACACTGTTTTGGCTGTTCCGTTTTACCCCCATATAATAATATGAAGGATATTATATTGTTCAATAATGAATTGTAATAACTCACATTTTTCAACTAAAAATGTTCTTTTTATTTAATTTTATTACATTAGTACAAACGCCCGGTGCTTACATTAGACGTTGGGAGCATACATATGACGTCATCTTGTTAATGTTGCCAAAGACCATACCATCATTTTGCGGAATTTTCGTTTTATGACATTTTACATCGAAATAATAACTGAAATGGACTAATTTGTTTTTTTTGGCATTATAACAGAGATAACCGTATTGTATTTGAAGCTTGGCCTTCGTAAAACGTGGGTTTTACTTTTACTGTAAAAAATTGAGTTTACCTGGTCGTACACATAAGATGGGCGTAACGCAGAACAGTCAGTTTTGTGTATTAATGCGTCTGCGCTAAATGTAGATATACTGTGATTATACAGGTTGACGATATATAGGTCGTCATACTAGAATATGAAATTACTTTCATTAGTAAACATATGTAGATAAGGCACTATGCATCATCAGTAAATATCATATTAACTGGAACTAACAAAAATACTTTTAACGTTTTCACATTTGCAATATTTCTTTCTTTGTAAGCATAATTCTTAGTCCCTTTTGCATCCAACTAAAGACTTTCTAAACGGAACAACTTTCATTCACTCTACATTAGTTTAATCTTCATACAATATATTTAGTTCCAATAAAAAAATCATTGATTTGTAAATATTCAACTATAGAAACAACTAATAATACCGGTAATCACATATGGATGGATTCAAATTGTAAGATGTAAATTAATTATTGTATTCTCAAAATATCATGCATAAATAAGTGTCAGATAAAAAAGTTTATTGAGATCTTAAGAACCAAATATATACTCTGTATATTGTTGTAGTTATTAAATTGTAATATCAAATAGGCTTTCACAGGAAATACCCAGTAAGTGATAAAAAAAAAAACCGTGGCCATAAGTTTTGAACAACTGACACCCGACGTAAGTACACGGGTAGATGTCTTCCTACTGTTATGTTTTAATGTCATTATGTTGTATATATCCATCGTTTGATTTTCTTTCTTCATTTGCCACACTAAATGAATCGTCTGCTGATGAATTTATCTGTCCAAAACGGCCATCTTCTGAATATAAACTAGCACTTCCTTGATCATTTGCACTAAATTCAATATTAATCAAATGTTTTTCGGTGATATATCCAGATCCAATTGAATTCTCAACTTTTCTTGTGTATTTTGAACCTGAAACATAGGATGATACATTTTCATCATCAATTAGGTTACCATTTAGCATGATTCCTTCTGTGATGTATCCTCCAGAAATTTCGCCTTTACCTGCCCAATCATCCATATTTTCCGCTAAGTAATTTGTTCCTTTAAGATCTTCCTGAACTGGTTCCCTGTTCAGAATCTCCACATCTATATCTCTTAGGTAACCAACACTGTTTAATTCTTCTTGGTCTCGTTCCCTGTTTGAATTTAAAACACCTGCATTCCTTATATCTTCCTCCTTAAGGTAACAATTACTTATTGAATCCTCTTGACCTGGTTCAATGTCATGTTTAATTACATGCTGATCTCTTAAATTTTCTTTCAAATAATCACTATGGTACTGATTTGCACTATCAGCTCTCATCAGTGGAGTTAAAACATCTAGTAACTTTGGGTTTTCCATGGAATCCAGATGATGGTATTCCACTGTTGAACTACCTGAATTATGAATAGAGGGTTGTTGTCTGGGCAATGCAATACCTATATTATTCATGGCATCTTTAGAAAGATAGCCATTGCTAATCATACTTATGTTTGAGTCCTCTTCATTGGGCTCAATCAACGGTAATAAAACATCATCTGCTTTACAATTCTTTTTAGAATCTCTACCATAGTTGGTTCTTGTTGAAAGAAGAAACTCCACTTCAGGGACTCTACTGTTTTCAGTAACTTCGAGGGTCTCTGTTTTAATATATGGTTGATCCTTAATTGGCTGTCCACATGTTTTTGACATTTGAACTTCTAGCTGATCAACAGATGGAATAGGAGCACTTACAGACCCAGATTCGAGCATAATATTTTCTGTAACATTGGCTTGTATGTCAACATGCTTTATATAACTGTCTACATTTTCATTTTCTGAAGAAGAAAAAAAATATGTAAAGGTGACATTACAATGGTTGTAATAGACTAAGATACATCATATTATTAAACGTGTCAATTTCGATACAAAACATGGCATTTTGATTGTTATTCAATCTTAGTTATTTACACATTATATATTGATTACATGCATACTGCATAACACAACATAGAACTTTAATATAAGACTCAAACTTGAAATGTTATGTTTCCAAATATTCTCGTACTTCGAAACATCGGAGTTGTCCTAAAACGACTGAAATTAGATCAAGTTTACGTATCAACCAACCTCGAAACATTATAGTTAAAAAGCTATAAACAAACAAGAATGTTATCGGGACTTGACTGAATGTGGATTTGAATGGCGGGCTGTCATGCATAGCAGAAGATTCTTTCTTTACCCGTCGACGCCCCCGGGGTCTCGTTCCTTCGGATTTCATGCGATTGTCTCAGTTTTTATATTTTCTTAATCGATATATGATATTTTAACATCGGTAAACACCTTACAATTTGATTCGCCAGACGCAATTTTCAAAACAGTTAGATGGTTTTATAAAATACAAATTAAAGAGCATTCAAAACGAAAATTTCTGAATGGTTGTGCTAAATGCGACTGAAGCTATGCCTGAGAAAAGAAGAACCTTTGTGTTTCGAACAATTGTTTATTTTATAAACAGCATTTACAGAACATGATTGTTTCAATACATTTCATGTCAACACAAAGCTAACTACTGGGCTGATGATACCCTCGTGGACGAAACGTCAACCAGCAGTGGCATTGACCAGTTGTTGTAAAAACTCATTAAGGATACATGACTTATAACTTTGTCAGTTCATGCGTCCGAAGCGCTTTTCTGGATTTACCTTCATCAGGAACGCTTAAAGCCAAATATCTAAAAGCCAAGGATTATAAGAATCGAAACATTTGAAGAGCTATATGACCAAAAAGGACATAAACAAATAGCCAAATTCAACTTAGGTCAACTTTGTTGAGTGAGTCGAAACCATAGTTTCTTTAGAATTTCAAATTTTATTAACATATTTAATAAAGGTATTTATAAATCATGCTAGTACCGAAGTGCTGACTACTGAGCTGATGATACCCTTTAGGACTGATAGTCCATCAGTGGTACTCGAATCAAATAAAAAAACGAAGCATGGAAAACAGAAATGTCTGTACATATAGAATTATATTTAAAAAAATATTTGCTTGTCTAAGAAATAAAATTTCTCAGATGTTTATGGAATTGATCATTTATAACGATATTTATTATCTTGTGGAGAGGGCTAACATAGGCTTACCTGTTGCCCAATTCAATTCAAATAATTTTTTATAAAAGATTGTTTAAAACTAACATACTTTTATTTCCAAATTTTAATCCGCATCTGTTTAAAAAATAATCGAGGAAACACTGACAATTACATAGCAATATCGAAAGATGCCAAAAAGACAAACAAGTCCACAAACAATTCATACAAAACTAAAGTCTGAGCAACACGAAACCAATGAAACACTGATGGTGAGCTATGGTGCTCCAGAAGGGTAAGCATATCCTATTTCGTTAGCTGCACCCGTCATGTTGTTCAGGATTAGTACACATTTAGTGACAAGTCTCATTTGGTAATGTCACAATCGAGGAAAAGAGGACGGGACTTGTTACGACTATTGTAACATATCCGTAGTCATCTATGACACGGATATTCCATAACGGTCAACCAACTCGTGATAGCGTCCGTAAAACTGTCGAACTTTTTAACAGTATTCTCAGTCAAGCAAAATCCGTTATAATTAGTTCAAATATTGGCTGATCATGAGAAAACAACTTCAGTTTATACGATAACTAAAGTGTAAAATATGTGAACGTACATGCAACACAAGACTGAGCAACATGTTTATTCAGTATGTATACTTTAAATCAAATTGAACCATTTTGGGCGAAATGAATATAAACAGAGAAATGTTTAAGATTCAGCAAAATGGCTGAAAAATCATAAAAATATATATATCTTGCCATTTAAAACATTATTGTACGACTCAAGAATAGGAATATTGTTTTTATAGCGTTTTGTGTCGTTTGAATTAAAATTTGAAACATAAAACGATTTAGTAATCCAATTAGATTTCACAGTTTTAATACAACCTTAGTGATTTTGTTAAACACTTAACAAGCAGGTATAATATAACCAATTATTCATTTTTATTTGAGCCAAATGGAAGATTGTTGACTATTGTGTATTTTCTTAAAATCAGAAGTCTACTTATTGTTAAAAAAATGAAGATATCAAACGGAAAATATAAATCATTAGTCGCAAAAAACAGCCAATACCATGAGAAATGAAAACGGCGAAAAGCCAAAAAAACATTCCTCAAAACATAAATAATTAAAGACTGTAGCACACGAACAATGATTGCAGAAGAAATATATATTCAATTTGAAAATGACATAAATGCTAAATCCGAGTACAAAATAGAGAAGAAACCAAGGGGGCAATCAAAAACATTAAGTACAATAAAAACAGACAACACCATGGCCAACAGAAAAACGACAAAATGACACACAAAAAAAACAACCAAAAATTACACACAAAACTAGGTAACGAGCAACACGATGCAAACTGTCCATTGATTATATTACAGCAAAATGAATATTGTGAAAATGACAAATTGCTAACTTCATGTTATCGGATTTCCTGGATAATGATATGATAGAAATTATCCGTTAACCAAAAAAGAAACTTCACACTGTCGAACAGCTAATGTTTTCCCTACAATCTCTTATTCTTACTAGTTCCGATAAAATGTTATCCTTCTGCAGTCATTTTACGCTTGGTATATTTGCTCAGTCTTTAGTTTTCATTGTAGACTGCTGCTTGCATTTTCGTTTTTTTACTTCCATTTCAGTAACGTCTACCTCGTCTACTATTTGAAGGAAGGATTGGTAATTTCGTCTAACATTGTAACGTCTTTTCAAAGTTTATATTATCATAGCATTGCTAATCAGTTTTTCTCTAATGTCATAAAGCCTCGATTACGGAGCGGAGTGATATAGACACATGGAAACATAATAATAAAAGATATATCAATCAAAGATAACAGTGGGTATAATTTGATATTTACCACATCGTTTATGTTTGGAATAAAACGTTTTCACAGATTTTCTTCTCTCATTCACAGGAGACGCACACAAAATTGGCGGACCAGTGACTTTTTTTAGAACGGTTTCTTGTCTAAATGTATTACTCTCTAATGCCATTTTAGAATAATCTGGGCTACAGGAAATAGTTGTATGATCGTCGCTAGATTTGTGATTGCTGTTCACTCCTGTAGTTTCTTCTGGTACAGGCAATAGATCTAATTTGTCATCTACTGCAGGAGACTGCAAACCGTCTGATGCCAAACTACTCCTACCACTGTCTTTACTTAATTGCGATGAATATGGTAAAACCTACAATAAAAATTCATTCCTTTATTGTGTAGACCTCACTGTGATTTGAGATGAAGATCAGCATATAAATACCATTACTTTTGCCCTTTTTTTTGTGTGCGCTTTGTAATTTTGTGTCATAAGGGTATACATTATAGCATTTTTCTTAACCACTATATTAAGAGTCTTTGTTTATCGGGCATTCTTTTTTCATATTTTTACAGTTATGGCATATATTCTTGAGATAACTTCTTTTATTTGTGCTACTTCATTTTCTCGCTTTCGAACAGTTTGTTTATTGATATTGTGGTGCAGTCCGCATCCACCCAAATCTGTTGTACTATTCATAAGTAAATTCTTCCAAGTTCTGTACCATATATTTTGATGTGCCCGAATTCTTAAATTTTTGTATTTGTTTTGTATTAAACCATGAGATTGTTGTGATATTTATGGCAGTATTTTTTAGATTTCTATGCCAGATGTATTTTACTATTTGTTTATATTGGATTGCATCCCTCTAATTATTCTCACATGCGCAGATATAGCTTTGTGGAAATTTAGCAAATAATTCCGGTCAAATAGGTACTAGCCGCCCATGTGGTGCAAACAGCAAAACTTCCAAAATAGCTTAATTTTAGACCTTATCATGAATATTTGGATATGAGAAGTGACATCACAAGTGACCTTTCTGCACTAAATTGTCCACATTACCGGTATATAAGCATGTGTATTTATCAATGAAATTATAACATAATTATGAAAGGCTTTAATAGTTTTATTATTTTTGCAACATTTGAACTTTAAAAGTTAGGACATGATACCGGTTAGTAATTTCTACAAACCTTAGATTGATATCCTGTTTTACAAAAGAACAAGTAGCATCTGTTGTTAAACCCCCGCTCGGCACAGTCGGGGGTTTATAAGAATCCGCATGTCCGTTTGTCTGTCCGTCTGTCACTCACGTTTAGTTTCCTCAGTCGTTAGATAACCTCTCTAATTGTACAAGGAGGACAATTTATAACTATGATACCTACCGTATTTCCGACTGATAGTTTTATCTTTGGAGTGATAATTTCCAGTGGTCGTTTAATTTCCCTGATACCATGGGCTGTTCGCCTTAACAAAAGAAATTATTTTATATGAAATCAAATAAACATTCTAAGTAGAGATTTACATACTTATTTGTTTTATTTTTTAATATTTATCTGAAAATTACAAAATCATAGAATATGAATTCTATTGATACAGTACAGCATTTTTAAGATCATAAGATTTGATCTCAATAATGCTTCCACTCTATTAAACACAATTATTTTCATTAACAAACATAATAAACAAGACGACTTAAAAAGATCATTTTGATATGAAATAGGACTTTTAAATGTTTATGTTCCATTACTTATATTGTATATTTAAAAAATAATAAAAAAACATACTTATAGATAAAAACAGCTCCAGCAATTGCAAGCATTAATAAGAAAGTTCCCCCTACTGCGATACTTGTAATTTCTGACGGTGCCAAATCTAAAAAATAGGAAATTTAATAAAATAGAACATGAACTAACAGAAACTGTTATAACAACCATAACCCAATATGTCATAGCCAGTTTTAATGCAAACTTATCAGTGCAATTTGAAGTACACTAGAATTACTAATTGTTTGGTATCGAAATCGATATAGCTCAGGTGAATTGAATTGAATGATACTTATCAGTGCAAATTTCCAACACAGGGTACTTGTCTAAACCAGAATTTGATAAAACTGAGAAAAAAAATCTTTGCAAGAAAGCTGGTAATAAATAACAAGATATGGTCGTAAATAAAATGTTATTTGGGTAGAAATATGAAGTTTGTGGTACTTGCAATAGTTCCGTCAACAAGGTCAAATTCCACTACATACAATTTCATTTACACGAAAAAAATAATTATTAAAGCAATTGGATTTCGGTTCCCTTTGCTAAATCATTTATTTTTTATAAGATATCCCTTGAAAAATAGTTGCTGTTAGAGTATGAGCGAATTAACAACTAAAAGTATTATTGCTTTTTTAACTGAAGGTAGAGTAGATAGACTTCTGAAAATTGACCATACACGTGTCTAAGAAACAATTTACATTTATAATTGGCATGATAAGGCCACAACTTATTATATATACCAGAGATAAGATATTTAAAAAATATAAGAGTGGGTAATCTAGATTTTACAAAATCACGAAGATTAAAGACCTGTTAAATTATTTATTTACACAAAGTTGAAAGCATTTTCCTCGTCCGTGTTCAGGCTTTCCATAAATGAATTCAAGATTTGTTTTAAATTGATTTTTAATCTAAGCACTTCATCTTATTTGAAAAGAAAAAAGCTAGGCATACATCACCCGCCATGCAAATCTACACTCAAAATTTTAAAATCGGGAATAGGACACAATCGGTAAAACTAAAGATCAGACAACGTTAGTTGTATCTACAGATCTAAGACCGCGAAAGCATGTCGTTTGTGAGTTAAGATGTGTCCGTCAACCAATTCGTGATTTTTACCGTAAAACTAATGTTGTGTCGATTTTGGTCGTTCTTCTTTGTAATTCTGTTGGATCAGTTTTTGTGTAAGGAGCACAACCCTGTGAATGAAGTCCGTAAAGGATGAACATGCACGAGCGTACCGAATTAGCTGAGATACGTAAACTTCATTCGATGGAACAGATGGTATGTTCCTGCTGTGAAATTGGAATTTGACAATTGGAAAGTTGTATTCACCACGTTTGTCATAGATTATAGATGGAAGTCATCCATTTGTGCCAATATCGAAGAATATCGATGAAACCTGTTAGACCCTGTAGACGCACAAGGTGTTGCTTCTTTTGGGGTTCATGCGTGCCCTTAATTGTTGTGTGTTGCCTTGATTAGTATCTTCTTAATCAATTTGTGAAATTTAAACATCGGTACTCTACTGTTGCTTCAATTTAGACCAACATGTTCACATAACAATCATTATATGCATCGAATACGGTTTATCTATTAATTTTACGTGCAGCAGATCTTATAACGAAAAATCAAAGATCAATGTACCATGAAGATGAGGTCAAGCTTAGAGGAACCCCGTCAGACGTACATGATCACCGTACAACCAAATATAGTTTCAAATTATTAAGTATCCGAGAAGCAGACATAATCAGGAAAATTTCGGCAAATGAACCATCAAAATAGGGTTATGGTTGGGAAATGTACACCTTACAATCATTATATAAACAGATTTAAGTCAGAACTTATCCGAGAAATGGAACTTTAAAACTGAGGTCAATGTCAATAGTCATGTTTTAAATTTTAACCTTTGTTTTGTTATCGCATCAAATATGCAACTAAAAAAGACATATATGAAAAGATTGGTGTAAAATGTTAAGGATATTGAAATGCAGATTCAGTACATTTGGTCTAAAGCGATATTACGACCTCTTATGGCAGTTTTTGCCCCTCAAATGTTTAAATAAATTAGTATAATTAACTGGTACATGAGATAGCAATGCGATTTTTGAAATGATGATTTTAGGTATGTGACCTGAAAAAGGGTTAAAAGAAAGTTAACCATGTGCATACCGCAAACAGTTGAAAATTTTCCTGATTTGTTACCTTAAAAATTATACGGTAATTATTTTGTTATTACTTGCACTTATATTGATGGATAATAACCAAGATATGTCTTCTATATCATATCAAGGTTTTTGAGTTATTCCTGACTTGAAGTACTGAAAGTAATTATACATCCAAAACGTAATGAAATCAAAACTTTCCATACTGAAAGTAATTATACATCCAAAACGTAATGAAATCAAAACTTTATCCTTTTTATTTTTTGTTTATTGGTCTACAACCTCGCATGCTCTTTAATATATAATTCTTATAGATAAGAAGGGATCTCTCAATGCCAATTTGTGTTTGACTCCAATCTTTATTGACTAGAATTGTCAGTTTTCCTACCGAAGGTCGGTGGTTATCTCCGGGCAATCCGGCTTCCTCCACCAATAAAACTGACCGCCACGAAATAGCACAATAGTGCTGAAAGTGGTTTTAAAAACCAATCAATCTCAATGCCAGTTTTATTCATGTTCAAAAGAAGATTAATAAAGATGTTTAACTTTTATTGTATTGACAAAAAGGAAACATTTTCTTATTTACACACTGACTGACAGAGAATAAAACTGTAATTCAATCACTAGGATAGTTACTATTATTTGTAGGTTGTATATACACCATATCACTGTAATCGCTTATTCTTCCATCGCCTGTTATATGCTGAATTTGGACACCATATGAAGTTCCCGCCTTTAGATTTGGAATTACCAGCTTAGATGGTTCAGTTGATGAAATATTCCTTTCTTGATGATAACCTATAGAACATTAGATTATAAACAAAAACTGTTGAATTCCTCAGTACTAATATTTTTGTTATATCTGTACGTTTGTGTTGGCGTTTATTTCAGCTTATTTTATTTTTACACCCACCTATTGTCTGTAGAAAACAATCTTCCCCGGTCATTAAAAAGAAAAAAATGCAATTACGTCTTCATGTTTTATTTCAAGACTTCCAATATCACTATGAATGTGGACAAAAGAGGAAGAAGATTGATCAAAGAGAATAAAAAACCAACAATACCAAATAAGAGAACGACGAAAAACAAACAATTTATGCAAAACAATACATGGGATACAAGACTGAGCAACACGAACCCCCGAAAAAAACCGAAGATGATCTCAGGTGCTACAGATCTTTACACCTTTGGCAACCGTCATGTTGATCATTTAGAATACAAATTCGGCGATAAGTCTCATTCTGTGATTTCACAAAAAAAATAAGAGGACGGGATTGAGTCTACGACAAATGGAACATCAGCCGGTATCTTTACAACAGAAAGTCCATAATAGATAAAAATCATGATGGTATAAATCTGTCAAAAGGCTGACCTTAACTTTAACACTAGAAATCCTTAGTTCAACAGCTTTCTTGTAAGCAGCAACTCTCTATCAAGAAAGTTATGATCAACACAAACTCTGGAAAATCTTATCAACTAGGAGATACATACTCCATATGCATACGCTACTGGAATGTTGCTACACTGAAATGAAAATTTCACAATCGACCAGCAGAAGTTATCTCTTTTGTTGTGAATTTTAGATCTGAACCGACCCTTGGTGATTTCATAGTTGTAAGTCAAAATATAAAGCGGACTTAACTGCATCTGTTGTATCCATTATTTCTAACTCGATTGGATTGATGTGCTAAACATAGTCACATAACTTTGAATTATTTAGTTAAGGACATCATCTTTATATTGCGGATAATGCTAGCTTCATTTCATTCTTACAAAGAAGCTCTTGTATGAAATTTGCCTAAGTCTGTAAGAACAAAGAAGAATTTGCCATGAAGAGGAGAGCAGTTATTTTCCAAAGAAATGCCGATTGTTTGTTGCTCAACACGTCCTCCAAACGTAACATATATGATGTCCTTGCATTTTGAATAAGAGTGGTTTTTTAAAGTAAGATTTATTCCTTCCCCAAAAAAAAGATATAGAATTGCAAAAAACTAGTTATCACCACTTCGTAAACAAAAGAACAAACGTTTGAAAATTTTACATCAAACTCTTGCAACTCGAAGTTGTAATACTTTATTTAAAAACACCAATCGACAGATAATCCTCCCTTTTAAAAGATTTAAACATTCTGTAGATTGTTATTCTCTTATTTCCCTAAAATACGGAAATCATCGTAATAAACTATGTTAAAATAACTTTAGTCCAACCAAGTTAATTTGATGTTATGACCACGTGTCTAACAAATTGAAATTCTATAAGGTATTGCAGTTGTTAAAAAAAGTCACGAAATGAGTTTAAAAGACAACAACTTCTTAATATTAAATCCAAATGACAAGAAGCACTGGTCGTTTTCCAGTTTTTAAAACAAATTGAAAATGATGCAACATAAGATAGTTTTGGCGTTATCTCCTAAATGTTATTACTAAAAGACACAAAAGCATGTTTTGAACATTTGTTGATTAGTTATATTGTTACTTGAAAAAGAAAAATGATAGATTTTGATAGAAATATTAAACAAATATGATGAATTGTTCTTTTAGATAAAACCTAAAGTCCTTAAAAGATAAAATGATATTAATTACATTTGCAAAATTAGGCCGTTATAGTATTAAAACCCACCTGAACAGTCGATGGTACCTTTGCTTGCAGTACACCAGGTTACTTTGAAAAACTTAATGTAAGGGGAAACACCACACTTTGGATCTGACCAATCAACTGTAATTGCGTTTTCAGGATATGCCAGAACATCAACTTGAGTTGGGGGAGATGGAGCTGAAATGAAAATTAGATTTGCTGTTAATCTATATACATGCAATATGTAGGCAAGTTAAATATTATTTAAATACAGTCATGTTATTGTGTCAGATTAAAATCAAACTTATAAAGATGTCCTCTTATTTCTTGAAACTTGTAAATTATATCTTAGTTTTACACGGAACTACTTAATACTATCTAAGATATTGAAATTAAAACAGCTATGGTAGACACTGAAGAAAATATGAGGCACAGTTACATAGAGCAAGTTGTTTTAATGCTTTAAGTTTAATTAAAATGTCTCATATAGGTTAAAATAAATCTAAGTAACTTTGAATAAGAGAAACCAGAAAATAGTTAACACTTACAGGCTGATATCCAGTTGAAATTAAACAAAAGAAATGTTACACTTTATTAGAGAAGGTAAAAAAGGCAAAGTTGGTATATTTGAATTGTTTACATCTGTTTCTATGGGTTTTAAAAGTTTAATGTATGTGCATAACTAAGGATTTTAAGCATCTTATATCCGTGTTTATACTTAAATTATAGAAAGGAGCTTCTAGTTGGACTTTTAAATTAAAGACAAATTTTCACAAAACAGTCGATTGTGGTAGGTGTAAAAACATGTGAATCTTTTTGTGCGTCGATAAAAAATCCACACAAAGATAAAAGATTGATCTTTTTAAATCATTAATTTGCATCTGTGCCCCGGTGACAATTTCTTGGGAAAAAATCCTAAAAATGGGCAATACTGTCATCGAAAAGAGAAGTCGAGTCCACCTTTTTATGTTCAGGCGTGTTTGAGTTGACTATTTTGTCTTGAAAACGTGTAAAGCAAAACTATTTGATACACCATCTCGCTTCAGATTCTATTACTTTTATATATTTAGGCTACACGTTGATTTAATAACATTTAAAACTCACAGTACTAACAAATGGAATATATATGGGTCAAGTGAAATACCTTTTTAATGAGTCATATCAACAGAATTGGGGTACATTGTATTTGTTTAAATAACAATTTTTTACTGAAAACCCTTGACGACAGACCTATAAGTGGATCTTTAAAAAATGAAAACAACACGTTATAAATTTCATGCGTCCGAAGCGCTTTTCTGGATTTACCTTCATCAGGAACGTTCAAAGCCGAATATTTGAAAGCCAAGAATGTATAATAACCTAAACAATTGAGGAGCTATATAACCACAAAGGACCTAAAAATTAGCCAAATTCATCTAAGGTCAACTTTGCCTGAGGGAGTCGAAACCTTGGTTTCTGATAAATTCAAAATTTATTAACCGACAATTTTAGAAAGGTTTGTTAAAGATCATGTCAAAATGCGTCACTTCAAAAAAAAAATTTTTTTTTTTTTTGTGTGTATGGTCGAGGGTAATTCAACTTCAACCTCTAAAAATGTTTCTTCTGCCCTTCCACGAAGTATTCAATTAGAATTTTTTTTTCGTGTTTTTTAACTTTCGAAAATTCCCCATGACAACCAATCAGATAGTAGTTTTAAGCTGACTAAAGGCGTAAAAGTACATTAAATGATGCCTAATAATTAGTAGATACATTTGTCTTTTAACATACAACTGGCATATAAGGATCGTCATAATGATATGTGGATACATTTATCGGTTTTCAAGAGCTAAATTGATAGTGCGGCATCCCAACAATGGCTTCCATTTTTACGCTTGAAAAAAAAAATAGATGGAGTAATGGGGAAATAATTTTGACGAAATAGAATCCTGACTGTCCTGCATTCATAGTTTTTACTATAAGAATAACAGTTTTCAGTATTCAATACGTGTATACTATAAAAGATGTGTTGACAAAAATACAGAATTCCATTGTAGATTCCAAAAGGGAGAAGTCCATAAAAAAGATAAAACATAACGCTCGACTAGCTAAACCCGACTGGAAAACAACCGTCATATTCCTGACTTGGTATTTTTCTTATACTTTAATTAAATACAGTTAGGTTTTGTCTGGATTTTTTTTTACTCCCCCCTCCCCCCTCCTAATAATTTACCTTGGAGTTCGGTATTATTTATAATAACTTTTCCCTCTTGATAGGCAACAGGAAATGTGATTATGTAACAAAGAATACTGAATGAAGGCCAAGTAATGCGGTTTACATAGAGATGAAATCAAACTTTACGGAATGATTTCACATATTCTGAGTTATGCACTTCAGAATTTAATTTAGATTATTTTTTTGTGTTCTCCCATTTCAAAATATTCACCTAAAACTAATTTCACTATTTGAAATTGAAATTGGGATGTAAATATCAAAACCTTGCAGATATACTTCATGTCATCTTCTCCTCTCCTGAATCGTGACCAGTTTAAATTTTTGTGCACACTGAACATTTAATTTCTATTCATTTTCAGGGGCCTCGGTGGCCGAGTGGTCTAAGTGGTTACTACTGTAATCACTAGCCAGTCAACACTGAGGTTGTGAGTTCGAACCCCGCTCGTGCGGGTGCACTCGACTCCAATCTTAATTGACTAGGATTGTCAGTTTTCCTATTGAAGGTCGGTGGTTTTCTCCGGGCACTCCGGCTTCCTCCACCAATAAAAACTGGCCGCCACGAAATAGCCCAAAAGCGGTGCTTAAAAGTGGCGTTAAAACACCAAAAAAATCCAAAAAAATCTATTAGTTTTCTGTACTTTTCTACTAAACAGGAGAAATTGAGAGGATACATGTTTCGTGTCAAAACAATCTAATTCTAATTGCCATAAAAAGGGTCCGCTTAGACAACGAAGGGTAATAATTGTTAAATTTATAGGATTTAGATTATTTTTAGTAGTTTGACATACCTATACTTTTTAAGTAGTAACAGTCTTCCCATTTAAATCCCGAACTAACTTGGTCCATGTCAGACGATACACCAAACCTGTACTTCTTATCAAACTGTAAATTTTCAATTGTGAGTAAGGTAGAATTAACTGGTACCCTAATCCATTCAATATCAGTCTGAAATGAAGATAAAACATAGATTTCCTCTCAATCCACAAAATGTCAAAATATACATTGTTAAAAAATAACCTCTATAAAAGTGTATTATTCATTTCCTAAATTCAACCTGAAAAAGGTAAAATAACTAAAGGCTGCATATATAGCTGTCAATGCCAGTAGGGGAAATCGACATTTATATTTTTCATTCCGTTATTTTATTCAGATGTAATATATAAAGTTGGTGAACTGATTTGATAAGGAAGGTTCCGATACAACATTAACCTAAAAGTGTCTGTTAATCATAACTAATACCCTGTTACCTGCAACAAAATGTGTCAAATGAAAATGACAGGTTAATCAAATATCAGGCTATAGTGCCAAAATGTTGTAAGGTAGACCAATACGGCCTTCAAATAATAAAATTGACTTTTCGTCTAAACATAAGCAGATCATTTTGACTTCATTAATTCACTGATATTGTGTGTACCTCAAAATGGAAATAGAGTCACGTCACTGGTTGATTCATCATTGTTTTGAACGTTTTTAACCAATCAAAACGTTTTGTTGTATTCTTTTGAAAATATTAAACAGAATGCCTTAAATTCTAAAACGGTGAATTATTTACAGTAAATGAGGAATGAAATCTTGCCATCGATCATTGAACCACAAAAAGAGATCAGTGTTACATAACTCCAGTCGAATGGGCGACATGAACAACTTATATTCTATAGACCATATGGAGCTGGAAAATTTCTCCTAGTAAATGATAAATAATTTATCTTATTGAGAAAAAAACGTTTTATTGGAGTAAAAATAGGATTTTAGCCATGCCGAAATAGGTCAAGAATATGTGATTATTTTGCACTTAATAGAAAATCTAAACAGTAAGACAGCTAGAAAATTCTTTATAAAATAAATCGTGTGTAGCTCTTCTCCGTTCTAAAATATTAATCGTGTTAAAATCCACTGCAACAACTGCTAACACATGTATGTTTATTGTTGTAATAAATTCAAAAGCAAATTGATGAATATAAAAACTTACTGTACATTCTGTATCAAACTGACAGTAGTATACAGTGTGGTATTCAATTCGCCCATCCTCTGTTGGAGTCCAACTTACACTTACAGTTGTATCTGTAGAAGTATTCTGGGCCTCCACTATAGTCCTACTTGGAGGTAAAAGAGCTGAAAGATAAAACGAATTGTACATATGAACTCTCCATGATAGCCAATATTTTCAAATTGCTATTAAGTAATTTTGAATTTTTTTGTAACCATCAATTTCAACTTTTTGAAGAACACTTGTAAATTTCATGCCATTCAATTTGACGATTTTCTTTTCTTATTTTGGAATTCTGTATTAGATAAGAACCTGATTTTTTGTTTGATTTCTTTTCTTATTTTATTGATTAGGATAAAAGACACCACCGGAACTGCATAAATTAATTAGTAGAAAGGCTCTAAAATAAGAAGTGAGTTAATAAAAGGAGCTGAATCTTAAAAAGACTTATTTCAGTAGGAATAATAATGCTTACTGTTAGCTGTCGGTATAGTTATATTCGATGGTTCCAGTGAGTAACCGACTACATTCATCGAGAACAATGATACGCGTACTCCATGTCTACAAGGTAGAGGCAAGGATGTAAATGTTCTGCTGTTGACATGGTAATTAGACAGTTCTCCATCCTCTGATAATACCGTTACTTTGTATCCTAACATTAGACCATTCTGGTACTTTTCTGGCAAGTCCTAAAACAAGCACATCGAAAATAAATTTGATCATTGGGTAAGCAATAATTCAATAATATTATCAATATGTATATTAATGTAACATATATATATAAGTACAATATTTTTTCGTACAATTATAAAGTAACAAAATTATAAATAGAAACAATAGTGAACACGCTGAAATGTCTAGCCTGCTTATTCTTTAATCACAAATGAATAATAATGATAAAGTCAAGGTCAAATGAACCCTGTCAAACAGATATATTCACCTTACAATCATTTCATTCACCAACTATAGTTGACCTATTCCTTAATGTACCTGATAAACTGACAAAACAACGAAAAATAGACCAATGAACAATGAAAATGAGGTCAAGGTCAGATGAACTCTGCGAGACAGACATGCACACCTTAAAATTGTTTCATACACAAACTATGGTTGACATACTGCTTAAAGTATCCGATTAACTGACAAAACCATGAAAACTTAACATTGACCAATGATCTATGAAAATGAGGTCAAATAAAGGCAACAGTAGTATACCGGTGTTAAAAAGTCATAAATCGATTGAGAGAAAGCAAATCCGGGTTACAAACCAAAACCGAGGGAAACACATCAACTATAAGAGGAAAACAAATGAACAACAGGAACACCGAAGTGCAACAAAACACACATAGAAACGAACTATTTGATAACAACTGCCATATTCCTGACTTGGTACAGGACATTTCAAGAAAAAATGGTGGGTTGAACCTGGTTTCATGGCATGCCAAACCTCCCGCTTTATGACAATGTCAAAGTCAGATGGACTCTTCCAGGCAGACACGTTCCACTTACAATCATTATATACACACAATTTAATTGACCTATTGCTTACAGTATCTGAGATACAGACTTGACCACCAACTTGAACCTTGATCACGGATCTATGAAATGAAGTTGAGGTCACATGAACCCTATCTGACGGACATTTAGACTTTGCAAGGAACCCAAATATACCAAATATAATTATCATATTACTCATAATAAGTGAGAAATTCACAAAAAAAACACTCAATTTTTTTTCAAACAGTCGCTGAACTATGACTAGAGGCTCTAAAGAGCCTGTGTCGCTCACCTTGGTCTATGTGCATATTAAACAAAGGACACAGATGGATTCATGACAAAACTTAGTTTTGGTGATGGTGATGTGTTTGTAGATCTTACTTTACTGAACATTATTGCTGCTTACAATTATCTCTATCTATAATGAACTTGGTCAAGTAGTTACAGTGAGAAATATTTTGTAAAACTTTACAAAAATTTACAAAATTTATGAAAATTGTAAAAAATTGACTATAAAGGGCAATAACTCCTTAAGGGGTCAATTGACAATTTTGGTCATCTTGACTTATTTGTAGATCTTACTTTGCTGTACATTATTGCTGTTTACAGTTTATCTCTGTCTATAATAATATTCAAGATAATAACCAAAAACGGCAAAATGTTTTTAAAATTACCAATTCAGGGGCAGCAACCCAACAACGTGTTGCCTGATTGGTCTGAAAATTTCAGGGCAGATAGATCTTAACCTGATAAACAATTTTACTCCGTGTCAGATTTGCTCTAAATGCTTTGGTTTCAGAGATATAAGCCAAAATCTACATTTTACCCCTATGTTCTACTTTTAGCCATGGCGGCCATCTTGGTTGATTGGCCGGGTCACCGGACACAATTTTTAAACTAGATACCCTAATGATGATTGTTGCCAAGTTTGGTCAAATTTGGCCCAGTAGTTTCAGAGGAGAAGATTTTTGTAAAAGTTTACGGACGACGGACGCAGGACGCAGGACGACGGACGACGGACGCCAAGTGATGAGAAAAGCTCACTTGGCCCTTCGGGCTAGGTGAGGTAAAAATGAGGTCAAGAACATATGACCGATGGAAATTTTGTAATATAAGGTAACTGCATACGAGGTATGAAACATCCATACTTTCTACCTTCTGAAATATAAAGCTTTATACAAATAGTTTACGCCGTCGCAGGCGAGACAAAAAATACATTTTTGTATTCTATACCGACTCTATCAGCAAGAATATCAAGCCGTTATTCGCTTGATATTCTTCTTGATAAAGTCAAAAACACCAGCGCATTTATAAACAAAACAATTCATGTAAACAAGATGTTGGTTTGATATTTGGTATGAGTAGATCTACCCTAAGTCCTCAATATTCAAGGTGTCCTAAATTTTATGTCACCAATGTTAAAATAGATAACAAACGAGAGACTACTATGACTTATACCTAATAATAATCTGACATGCTTTGTTTGTTCAAATTTCATTGTCATATCAATAATAGTTAGTTACATATAATTCCATTATGCATTTTTATTTAGATATAATTACCCATGGAAATATCTTTAAATGTCAGCATCATTATTTTTTAAATTTCACAAAATTAAGATTTATTTTGATGATTAAACCACCCAACGTTTCAGGACAAAGACTCTTTTTTTTATCTTGAAATCTGAAATCCAAAAGTATCTATTCAATAACTTTCTTTGAAATGTTTTAAAAGCAGCAGACTGTAAGACATCAACATTTTTGAAATTTTAATATAAAACTAAAAATAAACGCCTACACGGTATAAATTTGAGACCTTGTCCTTAACTTATATATGAACCAAATCATCATACAAAAAATATATATTGCCAAAAGATACCTTTAAAAAGAAAGACGTTGATCCAGGTAATAAGTCTTTATGTGTAGGGATATACTTTATCATTAATTTTGCACAACCTATGTGAAAATTGCCAATTTAGGTTAATATGTCAATGGTTTATATGTTTCTGCATAAGAATGTTCAGATTATACAATCTTATTCATTTATGAATTGAATTAGAATCAATTTAACATGGATTGGAGTATTTTATTACTCAAGAAATTTCAAGAGCCAGAAACAGGTTATTATGACAGCTCCAACTTCACAACTTAATAAAAATGCATAAAAAGGGTTGGCAAAAAGTTGCAGTGCCACAACCAAAGTTTCCTAAACCTAGTCCAGCACTGGTAAGAGAAGCAGAAGATGGAAAACTGAAAATAAGTTATTGATGTCGGGGCTGGACAAGTCTAAACCAAATACCCTAAAGAGTCTAGTAGTTATCTTGGTTTTCCTACATTTGATTTTATCATATATGAGCAGGTAATAAGAACATATGTTTATCTCTTAAGATTTGCCACAGAGCTGTATGCAGTGTATTAATGTCTTATTTGCATTCTTTTTGAAAAAAATGAAATACTTATTCCTGTGAACGTTAGTCATTAGTAGGGTACCTACCTTCCAATACAAAGTCACATTACGATTGTTATTCCTACAGCCCTCAACTGAAACAACATAACTTCCAGGAAAAACTTCTGGGGGTCTGACAGGGACTAAATAAAGAATAAAATATTACGACAACTATTTTTTCAATCCTGTTCAATGACATAAAGTTAGCATTTTGTGCTTTTGTATATGCAATTGATTCTGTCATTATAGCAAAAAACCCAATAAAATTAAACCTTCTGATTGTACTGTATTTACTATAAAATGTCCCTTACTGCATAGAACATCAGATGAGAATAGACTTGTATGTTAGATATTTTTAAGTAATTATATACAGTATGGTGGCAAATTTGTCATAAGAGGTATTGCGAGTTCGGCTCACACGTATTGCGAGTAAGGCTCACAAAATGATACCCTAAACCTACAGTAACCCATGGAAAAATATATGAATTGCTTAGGTAAACCCTTAAAATAGTTTTTTTTATATATTAGATAAATAAAGGTACACAATTGAATACTATGGTGAAGATTCTCAGAAAGTTTAAGGAAATTCTGATTAAGGGGTTAGGAGAAGCGAATGCAAATTTGAACTGTAGTGTGCAGATATAATAAAGCCTATGTGAATAAAAAAAAAACAAAGACAGTTCAGATAAAGAAAAAAAAAAGTGAGGTGCAAAATAAAATAAAATAGTTAAGCTATAGTGAGAGTTTCACAAATAACTGTCCCTCGGTTATTTAGCAGTTGCGAATAAAAGGGTGGGATAGATGAATGAACAGAGAAATGTACGAACAGACGAACGAATGAATGGATTTCTCATCACTTTATCCAGCAGGCACCAGAAGCTGGAGGCGAAAGGGTAACAATAGGTTTTGCCTGAACGAAACTCAAAACATTGATCTTTATTTTCTTATATATGCCAAATTCAAAATCAAACGATTCAAGTATTATAGAAAATAATTGCTTCGAAGGAGTTGGAATCGCTTATTTGAAACGTAGGAATATTTGGATCCACACATTTATTCAAGTTTTAAGATATAAGCAAAATATGAAAAAAATGGTAATAAACAAAAGGATAAACTTATATTGGTTATGTTTGACCTTTGTAAATCTGGCCTGGTTGGTCATGTTAACATTTAATATTCCATGATGATAGCATGAATTAGAAAAATTGGCACATATAATCATTTAGGGCAATACCTCGTTTAACCTCAACGCAGACATTCAAACAGAAGATGTTGGGTATTTATCAAATCCGCACAAAAGCAATATTCACTACCTCTTTCCTTATCTGTACCACCAATGTTTTAAAACCTATGTTAAAAACCCTTATTCAAACCAATACAAAAGTAAATCTATCATCTCGGATATTGCTAGTCACAGAATTTTCAAGTCTGTTAGCATATGAAAAGAAGTAACGGAGGAACCATATCTTCTTAAAGTATCGGGGGCCTCGGTGGCCGAGTGGTATAAGTAGTTACTACTGTAATCACTAGCCAGTCAACACTGAGGTTGTGAGTTCGAACCCCGCTCGTGCGGGTGCACTCGACTCCAATCTTAATTGACTAGGATTGTCAGTTTTCCTATCGAAGGTCGGTGGTTTTATCCGGGCACTACGGCTTCCTCCACCAATAAAAACTGGCCGCCACGAAATAGCCCAAAAGCGGTGCTTAAAAGTGGCGTTAAAACCCAAAAAATCAAAATCAAAATTTAAAAGAATCTGTTGCCAACGAAGATCTCGATGTCACCAAATGTAAGCAATACGTGAGCCTAAATCCTTTTAATAACGACTTTAAAATACTAATAGATTATGTCAAGATTTATGCCAGCCAATGAACTTAATGTGAAAAAAGACGTAGATACTATGTCCGAATGGCTTAAGACTTCAAAATATTTGAACTTGCAAAACCTACTACAAATAATGAAGAGTTGATTACATCAAAATGGACGGACATTAATTTTAAATCAAGATAAGGAGTCAGAGCTATGTACGCGGAAGATACATTTCTTTACATTAAAATGATTTTCAAAATATTAGAACAGCACATTTAAAAAACAAAATATCCATATTTTCATACCAGTACATAGGAAATTGTTACTAGAAGGGAGCTTTTGATACAAGGGTTCCCCGTGGAAAAGTTGAGTCATCTCGTAGAAAGTTTTAATGACGCAATTGTGATTTAGTTAACCGAGTGGGAATGCTTTTGTTACAGATGACCACGGAGAAACTTAATTTAAACCAACGATCCCGTCCTCTTTAGACTTTTCCTCGATAGTGACATCACCGAATTAACTTTTCCCCGCATTTGCACTTACCATGACTAGTATGACAGTCGGTACACGTGGGGCAAGACCTTCACTTCCAGAAATCCTAAGATTATCCCCAGTTTTTGGTTGGGTTCATGATGCTAAGTCTTTAGTTTTCTATGTAGTTTTTTGTAGACTGGTGTTTTCTCATCTTTTTTGTTTTTGTTGTCGGTTTCTCTTCGACTTTGAATATTGAGTGTCCCTTTGGTAACTTCCGTGTCTTTTTCACGAGTCATTTAACATTTAATTCATATTGACTTTTTTATGGATCATCATTGCTTTTTATAAGTGTCTCTTTATATTTTATTTTTAGATTACAACTTACTTTCTTGAAATTGGTACCAAAGGGTTGTTTTTATATTCACATTGATTAGAAACAAGCTATTTTATATACCCTACACAGCCTCAGCCTTGTCTGCAAGATAATGAAAAGATTTCTTTCACGATGTCAAAATACCACTAATTAAGTAAAAGAAGGTCAGTTCAAAAATTACTTATAACTATACTATTCTTGTTTTAATGAAACGTTTAGGAAATGAATAAACGTATCTGTATAAAAATTCTTACAGTCTGTCTGTGTTGTGGCGATAATAATCACTGGATAACTAGGGTATCCAATATCACTAGAGTCTCCAATATCACTAGGGTATCCATAATCTACCTTTTCAGGTCTGGCCACTATTGATATTTCATATTTTGTGTTTGGCTTCAGCTCACAAACTGTTGTGTTTAATTCTTTTGTCTTTATTAACTGCATTAAAGCATAATGATTTTGAGAGAAATTTACTTAAACATTATTCTTAATTGTAACTTTCAGGCAATGAATTAATTCAAAGAATACTAAAAAACTTTAAAATCTTAGTTAAGTAAAAATTTTTATTTAAACAAAACCAAATGTAACACACAAGCAGGAAAAGAAATTCCAAAAAAAAAATACATCAGTCCTATTGTTACTCAATGCTATCATTATAATTATCTATAATCATCATCAAGTTCAGTTAAAATACTGACTAAATCTGAGGAAATGATAGAAATGCAGCTTTCTAAAATCATACTGCATAGTTGAACTAACATACATTATTTGCTAAATCACAAAATAATGTTCGGTTCAATATTTTAGCAATGGTAGCCATTTGCGTATACAGACTGCAATACAATTAACGGTACCAATTTTTCTGCACCATATGTGCATTCCTCAGTGATGATCAAGGCCAAAATATTTGAAAATCAGAAACGCATTTAAAGAATGAAAAGCTGATAAAACCAAAAATTATAGCCAAAGTCGGGTAAGGAATTAGCGCTTTGCATGAGGGAGATACATTCCTCAATTTAATACAGTTTCAAAAATTTTGTAACAGCCAATTTTTGTAACACAATATCCATAATTTATGTCAGTAGCGAAGTACTGTCTACCGAGCTGGTGATAACTCGCGGACTTACAAGGATTGTCAAGAGCTGTAATAACACGCCGTTATAGAACCACTACTTGTCATATTTGTATTAATGCAATATATTGTAACACGGTACATAAGTTAAAAAATAGTAAGCCTATAATCATGTGTTGAAGATTGTCATAAAGTTTGAGTACCTTTTTACTACAAGAAATTATATGTACACACTAGAACCAGCTCAAAAATGTAATTTGAACCAATGAGACCAAATTTACCATTTGTCTTTTCAAAACAAAATGGGACTGTAATTAGGCAAAAAAGGAATGGAAAACCAACCTGATATCATTTAACCAGGTCCTACATTAATATAAAATATGAATTTGAACAGGACTCAATCAGCCATGCATACTAACCTTATTATCGGTCCATTTTGAAGTAATACGGATGATGAATTTCTTTTGCTTTTTCAATTTCTGATGTTTCCACTTTAATGTGACACATTTACTTGAAATGGAGACAATCTTAATCATCTCAACTGGATTTGGTTTCACTGAAAAAAATACATGATTAATTCCAATAAAAAATGGCAAGATATACATATACATTTATAAGTTCATCCATTGAGCGTTATATAATTAATCGTATTGTTATAAATATGTTTAAATCCCTTAAAATAACATATGCATTCAGCTTTATTATTTGTCCAAATAATGGATTAGAAATTAATTAGATTTATAAAACTCTAAAAAAATAATCATCAGAGAGGAAACGTGCAATTATCCAGCAATAAACATTTTTCTATTAAGAAGAACTTAGTGGTATACTGAAGAAGTTTTTTCTCCCTATAATAATATAATTATGATCAACAATTTTATACTCCACGTAGAGGGATACTATGCATTTAATTTAATAGATTGTTAAAGAAATTTAGTGTCACTCTTCTAGTCTTCTTTGATGCGACTGTCATACAAGTGAGAGGTTTAGCGCTATAAAACCAGGTTCAATCTACCATTTTCTACATAAGAAAATGCCTGTACCAATTCAGGAATATGACAGTTGTTGTCCATTCGTTTGATATGTTTGTGCTTTTGATTTTGCCATTTGATTAGGGACTTTTCGTTTTGAATTTTCCTCAGCGTTCAGTATTTTTGTGATTTAACTTTTTTCCACAATGTCCTTGTTGTTCACAAATTTCATTCCATTTTAGGTATCAGTGATTTAGACTTTAGACGTAGATAGTTATGGATCTGATTCCCCTTATGCACTAGTTTTCTTGTGATGTAAGTTTCTGGAGTTATTATCCCATTGTTTGCCCCTTTTCTCTACTTACTTAATTATTTATTAAGAAATTATGGCCTTCAAAATAAAAACAATGATCCTTGATACATTATAGTTGACCAAATATTAAGTAAAATGTTAATCCAGTGCAAAGTTCCACTGTAAATAAAGGCAAAAGTAGTATACCGCTGTTCAATAGTCATAAATCGAATTAACTGAAACAAATCCGTGTCACAAACCAAAACTAAGGGAAACACATCAACTATAAGAGGAAACAAAACGGAACAACAGAAACACTGAACTGCTACAAAAACAAACGCCAACATACATAGAAACGGACTATGTGATAACAACTGCCATATTCCTGACTTGGTACAGGACATTTTAAGAAAAAATGGTGGGTTGAACCTGGTTTTATGGCTAGCCAAACCTCCCGTTTATATGGCAATGTAAAAAATACCGCTAAAATGAGCTATAGGTAACAATCCTGAAACTCCTTTGTGCCAATTTCGGTCTTTTTCAGTAACTATGACGTTGATCTGAGACGTGTTTTTCTCAAATTGCACAATTATCTTCCGTATCTTACATGTGACCATTTTTACAAGTAAGGTTAGAAATCTGTAATCTGTTAAAAAAGTATTGTGTTTATCATCTGGAAAACGAATGGACTAACGAACAGGTCGAAACTACATACACACATTATTTGTAATGTGGGGTTACAAAATTTGTCAGGTTTTAAAGTTTATAACCAATAACCGAACATATACAACAGCTGTCTTATAATAAATTTTTACAATGGGTTATGACAACAATTTTAAAATCGAAAATCCATATGAAGGAGAATAAAATCGGCATATGTCAAGAAAATATGTCTTCTTTTTTTATGAGATATCTTATTTAATTTGAAGTTGATCAGACATCTTATGAAGTTTAAAAGATAACTTTTGAACCATATAAGATATCTTATATAGTAGATATCTTACATATTTTTATCGATATCAAGAAATAATACTTTATGAGATGTCTTGAATAGTTTATAAGATATTTTATTTACTTGACAAGATAACTTATTTAGTTTATAAGAATCTACTTTAGCTTATAAAATATCTCAGTAAGTTTATAATATAGCTTATAGTTTATAAGAAATCTTTTTTAATAAATAAGATACTAATTTAATTTATAAGATATCAAAATCAGTTTATAAGATATCTGAATAAGTCTGTAAGATATCTAATTAAGTTTATAATATATTTTATTAAGTTTATAAGATATATTTAGAATAAAAAAATATATAAGATATCTTTTATAGTTTATAAGATATAGTTCAAAAGATATCTTATAATCTTAATTAAATACCTTATAAACTTAATATGATATCTATATATCTGATTAATACGATATTTTATTTAGAAATATCTTATTCAATGTAATAGATATCTCAATTAGTTTATAAGATATCTTATTTAGTGCATTAAATACCTTATTAACTTTATAAGATATATTGTAAATGGAATAGATATAAAAGCGGCTTGTCACAATAAAATAGCATAAACGGGTTTTCATGATATAGGCTCTGAATAACATCGCACAAGTGAAGAGTTTTGCCTCTTGATGCAAAACTAGCTACTTCTTTGCATTGTTTTTAGATAAAAACAGGCACTGGGATTTGTTAATGAATACAAAGAAATATCTCTTTGTAAATTAGGTCATTAGTGCCAATAACGTAACAGAGATTCAATCAAATTTTCACATTTTTTATGCAAACATAGTATAAAAAACGTTAACGAATTTGAAAACATGATAGTTTTGGTACGAAAATAACTTTTACTAAAATGTTGATCTGCAAGGAAAAAACATCAGTATTTGTGATGATAACATTATACTATTTTTTTACAGATTGTAAAACGTCTGTTAGCAGATCTTTATATATCACTTCATTTTAGTTTGACATTTTAAAAAGGATGTCATTTTACCATATTCAGCTTGTTTAATAGTTATCCAATCTGTCTCCTTCGATACATTTCGCTTAGTGTTCTTTACGCTAACTTTAAAGAACAAAGTAGATCTATCAAATGAATAGGGGCCTCCTTTAATCCATGTACAATTCAGTAAATTCTTATTTGGACAGGATCCACTAAGTTTACTGAAAGATAGAATATATATATGAAAATATTGTTATTGTATGTTCAGTTGATTTTCTCATTCATGAAAATAAAAACCGTATTACTTTACATAAGTCACGTGGTAAAAATGAGTTAACCCCGAACGCGTTTGTGGCAAAATGTAGAAAAAGTAGAAGAGGTATTCTGTTGTTAAATTTTTCATTTCAAACTTGACATTTTCTCAATTCCAAATTCACATTTCTCAATTCCAAATTGACATTTCTCAATCACAAATTGACATTTCTAAGTTCTAATTTCATATTTCTTACTTCCAACTTGACGTTTTTCAGTTCAAAAGATTACCTTTCACATTTCTCACTTCTAAGTTGGATGAGAGAAATATTAGATTTTAAATAAGAAATGTCATGTTAGAACTTCGAAACATCAAGATTAAAGTGGGAAATGTATACTTGGTAAGAAATGTAAAAATATAAAGAAGGAGTAAGAAATGTCAAATTAGAAATAAAAAAAAGGTCAAAATGGAAATGAGAAATTCTAAAAATAGAAAATCCCTAATAGTTTTTCGTACAAATGCCAAATATTATAACAATCTCTACTAGAGACATTTACTGTACACTTTGTATTTTCTACAGTTTGTTCAATTAAATGAAATAATCCAATATATGTTATATCATTGTGTTAATTTAACACACCATTGATAGAATATAATTTGGTTTCGATTTACAAACTATTTCATATAATAAAATTTAGAATAGAAACGAGGAAAACGTCAAAAAGACAACAACCCGACCAAAGAGCAGAAAACAGCCAAAGGCTACCAATGGGTCTTCAACAAAGCGAGAAATTTCCGCATCCGGAGGCAGGTTTCAGCTGACTTCTAAACAATAATGTATACTAGTTCAGCGAAAATGTATTAATGATTGCAATTGATCAACTCAATTGCAGCTTTGATAAATTTAATAAGAATATAAGTCTACAAGACATGGATCCCATGCCGTTAACAACCATATGGATCATTCCTATATTCACCCAAATAAAAAAATTAAATTTGGTATGCTAAACCTTTTATGTTAGAAATACTAGTATCTGAGAAATGAAATAGGACATTAAAGTGAATATGAATCAATGCAGCATAAAATATAGGGCAAATCGATTTATAATATAATCTTCATAAATTGTTAGTCATTGATGACGGTAAATCCAGAAAAGTTATTCGGACGCATGAAACTAATAACGTGTTGTTTTCATTTTTTAGCTCACCTGGCCCAAAGGGCCAAGTGAGCTTTTCTCATCACTTGGTGTGCGTCGTCCGTCGACTGTCGTCGTCCGTCGTCCGTCGCCTGTCGTCGTCCGTCGTCGTCGTCCGTTAACTTTTACAAAAATCTTCTCCTCTGAAACTACTGCGCCAAATTTAACCAAACTTTGCCACAATCATCACTAGGTATCTAGTTTTAAAAAATGTGTCCGATGACCCCGCTTGCCAACCAAGATGGCCGACATGGCTAAAAATAGAACATAGGGGTTAAATGCAGTTTTTGACTTATATCTCTGAAACTAAAACATTTAGAGCAAATCTGACAATAGATTAAAATGTTTATCAGGTTAAGATCTATCTGCCCTGAAATTTTCAGATGAATCAGACAACCCGTTGTTGGGTTGCTGTCCCTGAATAGGTAATTTTAAGGAAATTGTGCAGTTTTTGGTTATTATCTTGAATATTATTATAGATAGAGATAAACTGTAAACAGCAATAATGTTCAGTAAAGTAAGATCTACAAATAAGTCAACATCACCAAAATGCTCAATTGACCCCTTAAGGAGTTATTGCCCTTTATAGTCAATTTTTAACAATTTTTCGTAAATTTTTGTAATCTTTTACAAAAATCTTCTCTTCTGAAACTACTCGGCCAAATTTAACCAACAAACTTGGCCACAATCATCACTAGGGTATACTAGGGTATCTAGTTTGAAAAATGTGTCCGATGAACCCGCCCACCAATCAAGATGGCCGTCATGGCTAAAATAGTACATAGGGGTAAAATGCAGTTTTTGGCTTATATCTCTGAAACTAAAGCATTTAGAGCAAGTCTGACAATAACTTAAAATGTTCATCAGGTTAAGATCTATCTGTCCTGAAATTTTCAGACGAATCAAACAAGCCGTTGTTGGATTGCTGCCCCTGAATTAGTAATTTTAAGGAAATTTTGCAGTTTTTTGTTATTATCTAGAATATTATTATAGATAGAGATAAACTGTAAACAGCAATAATGTTCAGCAAAGTAAGATCTACAAATAAGTCAACATGACTAATATGGTCAAAGTAAAATTTAAAAATTATTCGTAAATTTTTGTAATCTTTTACAAAAATCTTCTCTCCTGTAACAACTGTGACAAATTTAACCAAACTTGGCCACAATCATCACTAGGGTATCTAGTTTAAAAAATGTGTCCGATGACCCTGCTTGCCAACCAACATGTCAGACATGGCTAAAAATAGAACTAAAGGGGAAAATGCAGTTTTTTACTATATTTCTGAAACTAAAGCAAATTTATAACGGTTGCAGTTGTAGATAAGTTAAGTTATCTTGGTATTTTGTTAAATTTTAATGGTAAATATAATCTGTTACAGCAGAAACTATCAGAACAGGGTAGAAAAGCTGTTTTTGCCTTAAGGAGAAATATAAAAGATATTTATTTGAATTTTGTAACTTTACTTTCACTTTTTGATACTTATATTAACAGTGTACTTATGGTTGTGAAATTTGGGGTGCTCATAAGGCACCAGCTATAGAGAGGATACATCTGAGCTATTGTAAAAATATTATGAAAGTGAAAAGCTCTACTAGTAATGTCATGGTGTACTATGAGCTAGGTAGATTGCCATTATTGCACACCAGAAAATGTAGAATTTTTAAATACTGGTTTAAGCTGTTATGTACCACAAACTGTATTTTGAAAAACTGTTACTGTTTTTTATATGATGATTTACAAAAATGTCCAAATAATAAGACAAATTGGTTGTATTTTATTAAAAATGAGTTGCTTAGTATAAGTTTAGGTGATATTTGGTATAATCAAGGTTTATGTTTTGATAGTAAGCTCTCCAGTACTTTTTACTTGATAATTAAGCAACGCCTGTTTGATTGTCTGAAGCAAGATTTTGACAGCCAATTGAATAACTTAGTTAAATGTTCAAGTTATAGATATATGGTTCAAAATTTTTGTTTACAATATTACTTATTTAAACCAATACCAGTTATTTATAAGACATGTATTACCAAAATAAGACTTAGTAGTCATGATTTAGCTATAGAATGTGGACGCTATTCTGCAATTCCAAGAAATAATAGACTATGTAGTTTTGTAAAAATGACATTGAAGATGAGATGCATTTCATTTTAAAATGTCCCACTTATCAAGGTCTTAGATCTTATTTTATCAAACCTTATTATTGGAGAAAACCTTCTATGTATAAATATATACAATTAATGAGTTCTAATAATCTTAGAGAATTATGTAATTTTGGTAAATTTATATTTCGTGCACAAAAATTAAGATCTAACATGTTGTAATATGTTTCACACTACCTTCTGCTATCTATGTATACTGTGTGTAGTTTATATGTTGTATGCCTATAGTTGTTATGACTTTGGTAAATAAAGATTAGTCATTATTTCATGCATCAATTGTAAATAAAAATATCAATTGAGCGACACAGGCTCCTTAGAGCCTCTAGTTTTACTTTTGGAAAATTATATTTATATGTCAAGTAAATATAGGTCAATGGTGTATATAATATGTCCTAGAGAGAATTTACTTAAAAAAACACTTTCAATTTACCATCCTCTAATCATATTGTTCCAGTTAACATATAACTAAAAAGTATCTGAAATCAAAACTTGGGCGTAGAACTTTTTTGTCGTCAATGTATTTATAGTGAACTGTGTATGTAGAAAATTTCCATACTCATCAAGATGATTTATTACAAAAGTTTTGTAATCACGTAGTATCTTATATCTGAACTCAGAATAACAAGAGTATAGCACATTCTGAAATGACTCACGTATTTTACTGATTAGTATTGAAATATATTTATCATTGACCAATAAACAAGAATGGGGTATTTTAGAGGCAAACGTTGTTTAATAGTGTTTTAATCTCATTGATCAATTCAAAACATACAAAATGAACTTTAAAATATAAAAAAAACTGAAAGAGTTTCATGAACTAAAAAAGAAGGGAGAGAGATGCGTCGACATGGCAACCGTCCCCTGCTATGCATGCATTGCCTGACATGCAAATCCAAAATCAGTTAAAATGTCACAGAAGCGAAAAAGAAACGAACGGTTATCATTCAGATTAGACAACTATTCTGCTATTCAAAGACCTGATACCGGAAAAATATTGTCGCAAGTAATTTGAGATACAGACTTATTGTATTAGTCAATAATTCATGATAGTAACCGTAAAACTTATGTAGTGTCGATATCAGTCGTTCTTCCTTTTATCCCTGATGGAGCAGTTAATAAGTCAGCAGCACACTCCTGTTAACAAAGTCCGTATAATTTTAATAACATTAACGGTACCAATTTTACTGACCAGATGCACATTTCGACAATAAATGTCTCTTCAGAAATACTTCAGGCCAAAAGGATTGAAAAACAAAAACTTACACGAACGTCGAAGAGCTGATCAAACCAAAAATTACCTAAAGTTTAGCAAAATCCGCACCAACCTAGCACAGCAATTGACATTTGCAAGAGCTATACGATTGTCATTGATTATTTTTAATTGCATATGAATGATTAATTGCTTATGAATGATATTGATAAGCATTTACGATTTAGAGATAATGAAAAAAAAAACACTATATAGATTTAGTGGGTCCAAACCCTAGAAAGGTTTAACCTTTACCAGGACGCAAAAAAACTAAATTGAAAGCCAAGGATGTATATCTAGGTGATGACGTAAGTAACCATATTACAAAAACGAACATAAAAGAATAGCCAAATTTATATAAGGTCATACAACTTGTTCATAGGGAGTTTAAATGGATAATTTGAGACAAGTATGTTGTAAACGATGTTAGTACAGAAGCACTGACCCCTGAACTGATAATAGGAGGTAGTTTCTGGAAGTGAATTTCTTTCATCTTGAAAGATTACAGCCAGATGAAATTTTATTAAAAAACATTTTATATTGTTATTATACATACAGATTCAAACTTGTGTTGATAAATTGCAAGTCACGATAATTAACACCCAAGTCCCAGCTACATTCCATTTTCTCATCCCAGTCATAAATAATACAACTGAAGTTTTTAACAGGTTCAGGTGGATCTACAAATAAAATATTTACATTAACCAGCATTTTGAAAATCTTTTCCTAATGCTTGTAGATTAAGACTGGTTTGCTTCCTTGCTTTGTTTGTATAAAAGTTTGCTCAAGCATTGTAATTAAGATTGACACCTACAAAACTATATAAGTAGGCGGAGTTAAACCTGTATACATTATACTTAAATTTGATTGAATGTTATGAATCTAAATATAATGTATACAGGCTCAACTCCGCCTATTTATATTATTTGCTGGTGTCAATCTTAATTGCAATGCTTGAGCAAACATCTATACAAACACAGTAAGCAAGCCAACCAAAGTCTTAATCTACAAGCATTAGGAAATTAGCTTTAACACTTATTCATTTAAACAAACTAGGTATAAAGCTTTAAAGAGCCAAAAGATTAAACCAAATCTTATTTTTTCGTTTATTTTTCATGCAGTATGTGAAACAACTTGCTAATAATTGTTTTTTAGTTTTTACCTTTTAGAAAAACAACAGCTCAAGCTTTTAAACGTAAACTAAAACTACCAAAAATAAATGATAAATATAAGATGGTGTCATTGAACAAAGATAGGAGGCCTTAACAGATTCCTAGGTTTAAAAATGTAGATATTCTGAATGAAAAAAAGGTCGAATGTTTACTGGTATTTGTTAATTTATTTCTGACATAATTTTGGAAATGCCGATCAATGATAAGAAGTAAGTAGAAAACTACGTGTAACTTTTAGTATACAACCATTTCCAGCTTGATGTCCGAGTTTGAGTACAAGCATGTTGGACGCCAAAAGACCATTGTTTATTTTTGATTTATATAAACCAATATCATCTTTAAATTACCAGGGACACAGCACCCTTATCGTTGACTTGTCATTGGTCTTCATTGCCATGAAACATTTCTCCTGCCCAACAAGGAGAACACATGTTTCAAATCTTAATTTTAGAATAAGATTCAGAATTCCGGAAATGAGTTTCTGGAAAGGGCTATCACACACATTTTTTTTATGTTTGATATAATTAATAAGCAACAAATAGGAATTTGGCTATTTAAAGCATTTTTTAAATTCAATTGTGATATATTTGTATAAGAAGTTCCTAGCATTGCGTAACACATTTTAAAGATGCACTTATTTAAGCTTATTTATATGATATGACATTGATAGAAACCTCAAATAAGGCCATTATCCCCATTATTTTAGGGTTATACATATAACATATTTCCTATTTAACACGACCTGTCTTTTGATTTTTAGTATTTTTTAGTATTTTTAGTACTATCTGTCAGTTGGTTTTCGACTTTTTCTTTATCCCTTAGGTATATTTCGCGGTTTGTAAATGATTGAACATTTTCTACGTGAATGAACATTTTGTGTAAAACGTTATTTAAGAAACCTGCATGAACATAGCAGTTTAATAGCTTTGCTTTGTGCCAATTACAAACAGATCTACTTCCGCGATATTATCAAATTATCTAAATTAAAGATAATTGATATTTATTGAAAAAAAGTCATATTCGTAATGCATTTATACTAAAACCCTTGTTGCAAAAAATATAGACCAAAACATTTTGATTTAGTATTAATATATAAAATTACAAGCTAAACAACCAATCAAATAGGTTAAATGCATTTATAGAATTATTATAAATTGTAGTATTGTAACTTGAAAAATTAAGCAATTAGTGCCTGTACTATAATACATGTTTATTATCCTTAATGAATAATCTTAAGCTTTGTTTTTACTGCATGCAGTTATGTCTAGGTATAAGCTTATTTACAAAAAAGTATTATATCCTATAAAATTGAAAATAAAAAAATAAAATACACATGTGCTGACATAAAAAGCAAAAATACAGTAAAATAATATAATGATTACAGATTCTTAACCATTCGTAACTGCTGTTCAATCCAGATAGTCAGCTGAAAGTAAAACATTAAATTACATAAGACTGTACAAATGAAATGATTTGTCTTTTGAAAATAACTAAATAATATGTTGTCAGTCTATTAGAACAAACGTAAAACTCAAAATTAACAAAGTTGCACTAGGATCATATAACAGTAAACACATATCAGGTTTAACATTAAAAAACATGATTGTGTTGTACTGGCCATGCTAGGCATGCATCGACCGCCATGCAAATTCACACTCAGTCAAAATGTCACAATCGTGAATAAGACACACCCGTTTTATTTACAGATCAGACAGCTATTCCGGTATCTAAAGATCTAAGACCGCAAAAAAATGTCGTAGTGAGTTGAGACATAGACACAGTAGTGGTAAACTTTTTCATCATGGCGATCGTTCTACCCGAATAACATAACGTTTGTTTGTCCTTACGATGCAAGGTATTAACGCATACCCGACTTTCAAATATTTAAGTTTGAGCGTTCCTGATGAAAGTATATCCAGAAAACCACTTTTGACGCTTTTCATGACTTACCTTCATCAGGAGCGCTCAAATTTAAACATTTGAAATCCAGGTATTGCAACGTTAGCAGCTAAATGACAAAAACAGGAGTTAAACAAACTAGCCAAATTCATCTAAAGTCAACTTTGCCTGAGAGAATTGGAACCTTCGTTTCTAAATAATTTCTTAATTTTTCAACAGGGAATTTTTCAAAAAGTTTTTGTTTTAAATCGTGTAAGTACCGAAGCGCTAACCGTTATATGATGATATCCTCGGGGACTTATTGTCCACAAACAGCGGTATCGACACAGTGCTACTATCAGAAATAGACACATTATGAATTTCGTGCGTCCGAAGAGTGTGACAGTTTTGGATAAAAAAAAAACAGAATATATTTGGATGAGAATCAAATTGAAAATCATTCAGAGGTTAAAGTAAATAAAGGCAACAGTAGTATACCGCTGTTCGAAACTCATAAATCGATAGAGATAAAAACCAAATCCAGGTTACAAACTAAAACTGAGGGAAACGCATCAAATGTAAGAGGAGAACAACGACACAACAAAAACACAAAGAAGAGAATAGGATAGGAGATATTTCAAAATATATGGGACTTCCCAATTGAATGTCAACAAATTACATACACAGTAGAGGCCACTAAATCCTTTACCTCTTGACTTGGATAATACTGTTATATGAAGGTTGCATAAAATTTCATATCAAGAAAGTGCTATTGGTTCGGTATTTTTGCTATTTTACTTTTTGCACGAAACAACTGTACCTCTCAAAAATATCTGATGAACGATAAAACGTTATTAGTCATTCAAAATGACTAAATATTTCCTTATAAAGAACTTGTAATACTCACATTCAGTGTCAACTGTGGTGGAATCCAATAAGGCAACATTTTTCAAGGGATCTGTCTTGATAAAAACAGGATTCCTAAGGTTACAATAATACGCCCTGCAAAATGCTGTTGTTATCAATGTACTATGTTTTAGTGAAGCATTGTTTATGATAGTCGTTTCTGCAGCTTGTACTTCTATATCGTTGCCATACGAAAAGAACAATTTAGATGAGTTGTCTCCATTTTCAACAGATTGTGATGACAAAGTACAAGTTATATTAAAATATTCACCAACAAACAGATATGGGTCACTCTGGTCCAGCTCTACAATTAATCAAATAAAGTTTGCATAAGGGTTTACTCTAATAAGATATCAAAGATACCAATTAAAAACGTAATAGAACTTTTATTTGATTTTTTTTTTAAATATTGCTATAGGAATATATTGTCTTCCATAAGAATTGTATAACAAAGACTGTAGTAATTATCATAAAAAAAGAACATATTACTATGATTGATTATTGTAATGAACATAATGTATTTAAAATAAACAGTCAAAATACAACAATAGATCAATCCATAATACATCATTATTAAATTGATTCTACGTTAGATTGTAAATCTATTCACGTAGCAAAATTAACGGTAAAACGAATTCCTGCCTTTTTGAAATATAAAAAGGTACTGCAAATAAAATACTTCAGATGGTCTAAAGATATTAGTATTCTATAATTTTGTTTTCCCTATTTGCTTTTGGACTTTAAACGTCTTGTATTTAATGCACAACTGTTAATAAATATCATTGTACACGCATATTGCCAAAAAAAAAACATTTTGTCATCATTCGATGAATTAGATGATGTTTACATATTTGATTTTGCCGGAAACTATATTTACAAGTTTTCGACAGAGGAGCTAATTTCGACCTTCGATATACAGGAATTTTCAAAATCGCTTACATTTTCAAGGGGCTCAGCTACTGCAAACATTATCAATCGATGCTGATTTTTGTCGGAGGTATTGCTAATTTAACTTTGAACATTAACTTCATTAAACTCAAATGAGAAATATAGGCATGGGATCATGTCATATTGCTGATGTAAACCTTTGACATATTTTCATTAAATCTGATGAAAATTGTAGATGTCAAAGTTCTTACAATGTCATCACGTCATAACAGTCATAGAAAAGCCAGACCTTGTGCAATGCCTAAGTATTGCAAGGATGTAGGACAATGAGTGTTCATTATTGTATAGCAAACATATTTAGTTAGGTTTTAGCTTATATATAAAGTAAATGGTTATGATAACACATATAACATTTCTGCGCTTAATTCTGAAGATTTTATATTATCCTATATTTTAATCTATGTGATACAACATAGCTTATCTGAAAGTAAGAAAATTGCTTCTACCATACCTCCTCTTTTAGGTTAAAAAAATGTGTGTATTATAAACTCTGATTATACGAAATAATGATATCTGTGTTTTGAATTTTCAAATTGTAACCCACAAAAGCAATATTTTCATCAAAAACAAATTTAAACTAAACCATTATTCTAATTTTTACTAACCTCCATATTTTGGGAAAAAAAATCCCCGTACAAAACAACTTCTCAACATACACAGAAAGATAACAAACTTCATTGCGAGTCCTAAAAAAATATATATATCGTAAAAATACTTTCAATGTTTGTGGAGGTTAACTACAGTAACCAAATAAAAATAATAAACGCAAAAATTTAAAGCGACAGCTCCCTCGCTGTTGGCATAGTTTTTAAAGCTGTCTGGCTAGCTAAAATATCCTAAATGATCATTTACTAAACTAATTTTAATGAGAAGAACATATGATTTATTCTGCTCAAAACTATGTTTTTTTTAAATATTTATCATAGAATAATAGTTAAACTTCCTGTTCAATTAAGTTTGGTGGTGTATAACAGGATAATTTGATAAAAAAATTTACAAAATCATCATATCAAAATAAAAATAAAAGATATGTACAAGTTTATAGTAAAATGCGAAATTATACTTACTTGAGAAATAAACAGCTTATGAATGTTTAAAAAGTGGTCGATCTAAATTCTGGTCTTTTTTGGCCTATAATTCAAATGTAAATAAAATGACGTCTCTTTAGGATAATTGCAATTATTATGAAATTAACAATCATGAAGCATTCACCTAACTTCATAATATACAGTTAAACACAATTGAACACTCGTTATTCAATATTTCTATAAAAAAGAAATAGACTGATACAATCTTTTTATTTAAATTCATATATCGATTGGTATCGTTACAAATTTTGTGAAAACTAAACCCGATAAACAACAGAAATCTAAGAAACAATTTCAATGCAAGGGTTTGTTGCAAAGGACAAGGTATGACAAGACCACTTTTTGGCACCATGAATTGAAGACTCCAAAATGATTTTAAATCAACCAAATAACATACTTCAGAAGTTCATAAGATATTATACTATTACTCATCAGTATCAATATTTAAAATTTTGTGTAACACAGTTGCAATAGGGCTTCAAACTTTTGTATTTACCAAAATAGCCTTATTTTGATATATTGTTGTCTATGAGAAACAACATAACCCCAAAGGATATTTTGCTACAAGACATATTTTACAAAGATGCAAATGTGTTTAAAGTCTTTTTTTTGGTAAGGCTGTTGCTCATATCTATTTTGATCAAAAACATCATGTAAAATGGCCATTTTATGTCAAATATGTTAAGTTTGACATGTATGACGTCAAAGCGATATCGCAAGGGACATCTCTGCACCAAAATGTCTAGATTATATCAGCCTCTTAAATTATCGATAACATTTGCGAAATTTTGAAAGGAATTCCATGCCTCCAATCGGAGCGAAATCGAGTGTTTTACTAGCTAATAAGACACGCTAATTCCAGGCTTCAATAATATAACAATTAGGAGATGTTGTATGATTGCCAATGAGACAACTATCCAACAAAGTTAAAATGAAGTGGATGTAAAAGGTAAAATAACAAAAGTACCGAACTCCAAGTTTTATTCAAAGCGGAAAGTCTTTTACAAAATGGCAAAATCAAAAGCTCAAACACATCCAACTGTCATATTCCTGACTTGGTACAGGCATTTTCTTATGTAGAACATGGTGGATTAAACCTGGTTTTATAGCTATATAAACTTCTCACTTGTATGACAGTCGCATAGAATTCCATTGCATTGACAACAATGTGTGAGAAAAACAAATAGATATAATAGGTAAAAATGTCAAAAATTGGGGTATAGCAGTCAACATTGAAGTAAAAACTATAAAACAAACAACAATGTCAACAAAGAAAAACAAAATGGCTATAGACAAAGCACATAAGCAAAAATGAAAGACAAGAATACAAAAAATGACCATAGCACAATAACTCAATGGCGGGATGTATAAATACCAAGCCACGCCAAAAGGATATTGTCAAAAAAGGTTAAAAATATACAATGACAAATAAAAAAAACACTATAACACGTTATAAAGAAAATAAACAGATCAGTACCTAGAATCTATACTTCATGACCATCATGTATTATTTGTGAAGTTGAAACGGAATATTTATCAACAAGGTCTTGGTATCTTCCAATGAACTTTTTTTTAGAAAAAAGACGAAATGTTTTTTAACAAAACCCTGGTTCATCAACTTTCTGTTCAGACAAAGGTAGCGTTTTATAAAGTATGAGTAGCAGCTGCAAGCTCTTGAATACCGAATAAGTTGGGAAATGTATATACCATATGCAGGTGAAGTTGGTATATTGCTGCTAAGGTTGGAGAAATTTATACTTTCAAAATTGAAATCGTCTGAATTGTCATGGATTCTGGTAATTGGATGACAGCTTATGTCAAATTCGAGGTATAAGTCTAAAAATGAGTTGAAGTAAGCAATTATAGGCCATCGAACGGCTATCGACAATAGAAAACCCCAATACGGTGTAGTCGGAGATAAGAGGACCCAACATAAAGAATGTGAAACATTTCAAATGAGAAAACTAACGGCTTTATGTTTAACAAAAACAATTTACGAAAAACAAATATAAGACATGAACAATCGATAACCACCGAACTACAGGCTCATGGCTTGTTATAGGCAGATAAAGAGGCGGGGTTATACATGTGTGTGAGCGCTAAGCCCTTCCCTTAACCTTAGACAGTGGTTTAATAGTAAAGCATCATAGCAGACTGTAAACACCAGCTTCAATTGGCATAACTCAAAAGATCGGTACGAGGCACAAAACAACTTACATAAAAACAATAGACACAAGGCACCGAAATAAGAGTACCCGCAAATATTGAAAGGTAGTTCGAAGCAAATCACAACGAGTAAATAAATCATGTTCTCTATTTGAACAGCAAAATGAAGTATCTCATCACAATCCTCCATAATTTTCAGTGTGGCAAATTATCATCTATACCTTCAAATTTGTCCACTCTGCATGGTTAATCCGAAGTCAAACTGCTGAAGAATCTAAAAGCTATTTTTCTGAAACTTGTTTACATGGATTTGGAAAGAAATCTTTATTTTTGAAACAGAAAATAAACCATGAATGTCCTATCCTCCTTTGAGATAGGTAAACTAAGTCTTCTGAAAACGACCCTAAGGACTGACTTGGGTAGAAAATATGTTCAAATAAAATATTCTATTCAAAAGAAAAAAAACATGCCGAGGGTTTTCCATGCTGGATTAAATAACTTTTAATTGTATATATACATATATATATATATTCCATCTTCATGCCTAATATATCATGTACTGTGTTACAACTCTAAATTCTAATGACGAGGAAAGATAACACTAGGGCACCGAAAGGTGAATCTTTAGTTCAATCTAGGTGGCCGAGTGGTCTAGAGCGCTGGACAAAGTGCAGGCGGTGTTGTCTCGATATCCCAATAGCAAGAGTTCAAATCCCGGCGAGGGAAGAACAAAAATTTGCTTCCTCAAATTTGCAGATTTAACATTGTTGTGCTGATATTTAGAGTAATTATGAATATAATATGTGTTTCCATCCGTGTATCACCTTCATTGGTGATCCAATGGATGGATCTGTTGTAGAGTTGTCACTTGTTTAGACGTTCTTATCAAATAATTATTTCTGTGACTGCATCGTACGATCCTTTAAGATAAATAATTTAGCTTATCTGCAATCCATTCCATCTTCATGCCTAATATATCATGTACTGTGTTACATCTTTAGATGTTACTGACGAGGAAAGGTAACACTGGGCGACCGAAAGCTGAATTTTTAGTTCAGTCTAGGTGGCCGAGTGGTCTAGAGCGCTGGACACAGTGCAGACGGTGTTGTCTCGATATACAAATAGCATGAGTTCGAATCCCGGCGAGGGAAGAACAAAAATGTGCTGATATTTAGAGTAATTATGCATATATATATAGTAAAGATAACACAATATATATACAAGTCTAAATTGAAAACAACGTTCAAACCTATACAAGTTTAAATTGAAAACAACGTTCAAACCTATTATTGCGTTGGATAAAAACCGCAATTTTTATACGTGTGCATGCAGAACAAATTTCTTGGTATAGGGGTCTAAATACAGCACAAACAACATTTTCCAAAAGACCAAAAAAGTGAAAAAGTATATTTTAACAAAACGCATTTGACTAGCATGTCGAACAACGGATGTTCTTAAACCCTGCTGACTGCCATGGCGATTGCCAAATAAACGGATCACTAGATGTAACAAAATGGATCTTAATTATATATATATATATATATGTGTGTGTGTGTGTGTGTGTGTGTGTGAACAAACTTGACCCAACATCAGAAATCTGAATATAGATATAGGAAGATGTGGTATGAGTGCCAATGAGACAACTCTCCATCCAAGTTACAATTTATAAAAGTAAACCATTATAGGTCAAGGTACGGCCTTCAACACGGAGCATTGGCTCACACCAAACAGCAAGCTATAAAGGGCCCCAAAAAATTACTACTGTAAAACCATTCAAACGGAAAAACTAACGGTCTAATCTATATAAAAACGAGAAACGAGAAACACGTATGAACTACATAAACAGACGACAACTACTGTAATCAGATTCCATATTTAGATTCATCATAGCAATGGCCCCATGAATTCTGTTTTTGTTAAAATCAAACAAAGTTTTTTTTCGACCCATTGGACCTTATTGTAAACCAATTTGAAAACGGGGCCCAAAATCCAAAATTGTAGCACACGGTTAGATTCAGCATATTAAAGAACCCCAAGAATTCAAGACTTTGAATTAAACCCCATTGAAATTGGTCAAGAAATAAGCAATTCATATAAAGTATTAGAAAAGTATTGTTTTTTGGCCCCCTTTTCCGTAATCCCAAAATCATTCCCAACCTTCCTATTTTGGTATGGAACATGGTGGTACAATTTCTTAGAGATCCATAGACTTATACTCCAAGTTTTTGACCGGAAACACGAAAATCCTTGTTTTTTTGTCCCTTTTTTGTCCCTAATTCCTAAACGGTTGAGGCCATTTCCCTTAAAATCAATCCCAACCCTTCTTTTGAGGTATGAAACCTTGTGGTAAAATTTCATAGAGATCCATCAATTTATACACATGTTATTGTCCTGAAACAAGAAAAATGCTTGTTTTTTTGGGATCCTAATTCCTAAACAGTTAGGACAATAACCCTCAAAAATCAATTCCAACCTTTCGTTTGTGGTATGGAACCTTGTGGTACAATTTCATCGAGTTCCATACACTTATACTCAAGTTATTGTCTGGCAACACAATGTCTTCGGACGACGACGACGACGAACGTCATACAATTATACGGCAGCAAAAATTTTGCGGTCGTATAAATCAACTCATTGCATTCTGAATAATGTAAGAACGATTATATGCATCAACAAATGAGTAATTTTTTGAGTCAGATTAATGAGGCATCTGATTTCTTCTGGCATGAAAGTCACTTAAAAATGGATTGGGTAAATATGACAGATCGGTAATTGTCGTTATCATTCTTGACACCTTTTTTTTCAATTACAATTAAAGTTAGTTGAAATAATTACCCACCTAGAATATAATTTTATAGTCAAAACATTAATTTGACATCTGTATTTTACTTTTATATATCTTTTTATCATATACCATCATATTAATGTGCTTATGATGGCCTTAATAAGTTAATGAAGAGTTAGTTTCATAAAAACATATTTTAGAACCAACTGTTTTATATTAAAAAAATAAAAATTTGGCAATTACAGCTTTTTAAGTGAAGAATTAATAAAACAAGCCGGGCTAAACGACTCACTTTTCGTGAATCAGCCCAGAGTGAAAGGACTAGGTGCGAACGCATATCGGAGCGACACGACCCTTTACCAAGTAGAAGAGATCTGATCACTGTGTGTTGAATATACTGGTAATGTATGATATCGATATAATCGGGGTCCATTCGCCCACAATCACGTTTGACCTTATTGTTATTTTGTTTAATTTGTTGTACTCTATAATCGTGTACCGGTAATGACATAATATGAAAAAAATATACGTTACAAATGATGAATAATCTACGAAATACTCAATCTAATTAAAACTAAATCTCCGCACTCGCTCATTTTTGCAGCGACCAAGAATAAAAAAAAATGAGCGAGTGCAGAGATTTAATTTTAATTAGATTGCGAAAAACTTTTTAACTAGTTGGTAAAGATTGGCAAAACAAACTGAGATCAAATGAGCCAAGCTGTCATATGTATTTAATCTTCTCGTTTTACATTTCGTACATTAACTCAATGTTGTACTATTTCAAATTTTTCTAGTTTAATTTAGAAAGTAGTTACTTTCATGATTAAACGACCAAGATAATTAATGAAACAATCATAGAGATCAACCGAGAATAATAACATATCTTATTGTCATTATATATATATATATCAGTCAACATTCATTACAAGTTATTGTCAAAATTATTAAATATCAATCTAAATGAATACAAACGAAGTTGGCTTATTTCACAAACATGTACTGACTTTTTTTTAAACTGAGTTAGACTTACCTACTTTTTGTTTTTTTTAAATTTCCTAAAGCATTAATTTGATTTCTACGATCCATATGCAGGGTAAGTTTAAGAATATTATGAAAAATGAAAATAGTAAAGGATATCACATTTTATCTGTGTTATAGTTCATCATGACAACATGATTACACTTCCTGGTAAAGGTATATATAAATATTTCTCGGAATACAGTTTACTAAAAACGTCGGACGAACGCGGGAAATTTAAATCCGTATCTTGTTTGCTTTATGAAGCGTTTTGTATACTGCTGTTTTTCTTTTCGTCTTTTCTTTTCCTTTTGATCATGGTGTTGGTAGTATTTTATCGACTTTTCATTGTAAATAAATTGTTTTTAAGTAATAGTTATTGGAACTGTTGTGAGGTTTTCTACTTTTATATGTGTGCCGCTTATATAATTTAAAGACAAATATTTATCTGTAAAACAATCAGGTCGGAAAATTTCTTAAAGAAAATACAATTTAATTTAATTACATCTCACAGACTGGGGATAATCCAGAAAATTACACACCTAAAGCAATTATTGAGCCTATTTGGTTTGGATATAGGCGTTGCAAAAGATTAGGAACATATTTTTTTTGTCAGTATACCTGTCATGTAAATACATTTTTTTTTGTAAATGCACATGTTTATACCACAAAGTTTCTCCAAGAAGGTATACTGTAAATTAACTACGTTGTGACATAGTTAAAGGCTCATTGGTTATCGTCTGAAGGTTACAACTGTTATACACTTGTAATTGACCTTAATGACCTGTACCAAGTTAAGTAATGTAGTCTGTAATTAAGTGACTGGTGGTGCTATAACAGAGACAAAATGCCTGACTGAAAACGAATACATTTCAACAGAGAAAACTGACAAATATAAAAGAAATATAAAATTTATTACAAAAAATAAAATTATATAGTATTGCCCTTGGGAAATCATCTCAGCTAATTTTGAAAATATTTTTGCTAATTATGAAAATATTTTCCCGTCGAATTCCCTGAATCCTGAGCTGTTGTAAAGCGTAGTTTGCGCGAACTATTGATGCTTGCGAAACAGTGGTTGACAGGAAATTCGACGTGACCTGTCCTATCAACTGTAGTATAACTAATGAAATGTGAGTTGTAAGTTGATAGAACTTGGGGGATAAAAAATTGTCATTTAAAAGACTGACCAGTGATAAAAAATGCAATGAATGGCCATTGCTCAGATTATATGAAAAATAAAAAGTATATGAGCTGAGTAATCCCCCAAGTTGTAAGATATTAAGTGAGGTGGAATTCATAAGGGGGTATAAAGGGAGCCTTCAAGTCGCATGTGGTGAAAAAGTATTAGAGAGAGAGAGAGAGAAAAACAAAATGAATATACAAATATGATGCACAAAACATAACTGTAAAGTTTGATTGTATCTAGAAAAATAAAACAGCAACTCGTCACATGGCTGAATATAAGAAAACTATAAGGTTCACATGTGTTTCTTTTCACATTCCAAGCAGGCTCTAAATTGAAATACGCGTTTCTCGGCAAAAACTCAATGACACAAGTTCGTTAAATACAGTAAAATATAAATCCACATGTATCAGGGGAAAACAGCAACTCTTCGAAACGGCTGAATATTCTATGAAATCGGTAAATTCGAATTCAAATAATTGTCACTATAGATAAGGCTTAAAGTTAAAATACATTGTTTCTTCTGCTAAACGATATTGTATGTATAAAGATATGTCCAAGTGTACCGAGAGGAAAAACAGCAACTCTTCGAATGGCTGAATACTTCATAACAAGTAAAGTTACTTCACATAAAAGTTCAATTATGGTCAGCAAGTTCACAATTAAAGTTCATTGTTCTTGGTAAAATAACATCCATTCAAGTTCGATAATGTCCACATATCGAATATGACTCAGATATTTTTAGACAATGTCAAAGACTTCTGTGCTTTTCGAATCGTGTCCGTGGAAATACGAATATAACGACAATAACTGTCTGATGTCCACCGACCAAGAGTTTTGATAAGATGATCTTGAATATTAACAGATCCTGCCGATGTACTGGCACCAATTCTAAAAGAATGACCATTGTATAAGCTTGAGTTGTACCCACAAATATCTAGTACATGTCTTAGACTTCTGATGAAAAAATCCCTGTCTAAAGCGCTACCATTCTCTTTGACAAACAATGGATCTGAAAAACAAAAAGATGCTTCTCTACCCTTCCTGATTGCGATATACTTTTGGACAACAGAGAAAGGACAAATGGTATGATCGGATTTGTGAAGCTGTATACTGACACCTTTACGAAAAGGATCTGTTTTTGAGGTTTTAAGGTGTAGAATAGCATAAGAATCGAGAATCTCAACATCCGTTACACTTAGATTTACAGTAGAATCAAAATGTTTAGAAACTGTAAATTCACCACATCTAAGAAATCCAAAAAAGGCTACTGTACAGGCCGTTTCTAACATACAATCAGTAAAGGCAGAGAAAACACCTGCTCTAAGAGAATTGCAAATTCCCCCAAGTACCTGAAAAGTAATAGGAAGACGTGGTTTTGGATTATGCTCTCCTTGTATACGTTTGACGGCGCGTATTATCATATTGAGTTTATGGAGTGTCGATTCATTTGTATAATCTAACGGATGGTCACAGTTACTTTGGATATAATAAAACCGAATTCCACATAAATACAATTTAATGGTTGTATGTAAAAGTCTCAAGTTTTTGTAACAATGTGCGACAAAATAAATCAAAATATCCTCAGAAATCGGAGGCATGGGTTTACCTAACCAGACAACCCCGTTGTTAGCAAGAAATGCAGTATAAGCTCGATATCCAACTTTATACGTCTGAGATGTTCTAGTTGATAACACATGTCGCCATAAATCCGACACTGTAGACTTTAATGCCACATTACTCGTGAGACTGGCGGGCACTTGTGAGGTACTTTGTCCGCTAAAGGTGCAAGTATCTTGAAACGCTCTAGCTGTAAACGAGAAAGAGGGTCACTGATATTATTCTGAACTCCAGGAACGTGTTCGGCACGAAAACAAAAATTATTTATACAGGCATACAAAGTAAGAGTTCTCATAAGTTTCATTATCAGTAAACATCTGGAACGACCTTTATTAACAATATGTACGGTGGCTTCATTGTCACATCGAAATAAGATTCTTTTAGTTGTCCATGAATGACCCCATAAGATGGCTGCAACGACTATAGGATAGAGTTCTAGAAAAGCCATGGAATATTTCTTTTCGCATGGAGAATTTAAATCATCCGGCCAAGGAGAACAAAACCATTTCCCCTTGAAATAACCACCATAACCAATGGTAGAAGCCGCATCTGTATATAATTCGATATCCCTAACACTAGTATAGTCAGAATCATAAAACATATTAATGCCATTCCAGTTTACCAAAAACGAGTACCAAAAACGCAAATCGGTACGACATTCATCGGTCAAATAAATTTTGTCTTTGAGATCCTTGACAGTTGTTGATAAAGATATTAGGTATGAGACAAAAGAACGACCCGGAATTATAACCCGCATAGCAAAATTTAAATGCCCTAACAATTGTAGAAGTTCACGTTTAGTACAAGATTGTCTGTTTAAAAACTTCTTGATAAATTCACTGATGCGACTTGTTTTATCTAAAGGCAAGCGAGTCTCCATCTTTTCCGTGTCAAGTATAATACCCAAATATTCAATAACTGTACAAGGGCCAACAACCTTGTGTTTAGCCAGTGGAATATTAAGTCTTTTAAAAAGAGTAGTCATTAATGCCATAGTTCTCTCTGCGCAAGAATCGGGTTTATCTATAGTCAAGAAATCGTCTAAAAGGGGAAATATATATTCAATTTTGTAGATATTAGTAGCAATCCAACAAATTGCTCTGGATAAGTTATCGAAAATAATTGGCGAGCTCCTACAACCAAACGCTAGTCTATTAAAGAAATAGTATTCTTTGCACCATTTAATGCAAAATAAATGCCACTGGTCCTTTCTAATTCCCAATTGTTTGAAAGCGGACTATATATTGAACTTTGAACACAATGAAAAACGACCTAATTTTCGTATAACTTTGATCGCATCGTCTATTCTGACATACGTCATTGAACAATCTTCTTTACTGATCAAGTCATTAATACTACAATTATCATCATCGTCATGTGGGGCTGATAAATCCAATATAAGCCGCTTTTTCCCGGAGTACTTCCCCACAGCAAATCCCAAAGGGTTGACTCGATAATAGTTAAACGGTGGAATTTTATACGGACCTGACAAGAAACCTTTTTCACATTCTTTGTCAATAAGCTCCCGCACGGTTAAAGGTTGAGAGCGAGCTGAAAAGTTATTCTTACATTCAAGTGTCGGTATATCAGTACATTTAATCATAGTGTCAAAGCCCTCGTTTATTCCACTACAAAGATAATTAACAAAATTTATATCCGGATGCGTTTGCAATAAATCACGTAACAAGTTAACATTGATAGGTGAATCTTCGATAACAGGAATTGTTACTAGTCATTTTTTATCTTCGTTGATTGTAGTCGACCCTCTAGAAGATTTGTTCCTTTGAGTATCTTTGTTGCAGTTAAAGGCGGAATGAAAAGCGAAACAAGAACTGCAAATATGAGTCAAAGAACAACCCGGTCTGGCACACCCCCTTGTGGTGTTATAATTATTGCAGACCTCTTTCCCATCGTGCAAAACTCGTGTTCTGCCCCTCCTATCAACGCGATCGGAAGATGGTCTATTCTTCGGATAAGTACTACGTTCTACTGATTGAGAAGAAAGAGGGCAAAAATTTGTTCCGTGATCAATAGCGTAACAAAGTCTACAAACTTCTGGCCTTGCATGCGGAGCTTAAAGCGTAAGAATGTCATTGTCTTTAACTCCCCAGTCAAATTTAACTTTGAAATCGCGAAGTGCAGTTGCAGCTTTGGCGGCAAAAAGCTTATGATAATCGTAAAATTTTTCGCCGTAGCTAGATTCAATCTGTAAAATGTTAGCTAAGTAACAATCTAATTCTTCGCTGCGTTGAGGAAAAACCCTACACATGACGCGCTTATATTTGCCAAACGCGCATACGAACTCTTTAATAGTGAGCGTTCTATGAAGCCGGATATCCCTTTTTCCTGGAAATTAAT